TATCGATAGTATTCATATATCGATAACTATCGATATATCGATAACTATCGATATATCGATAACTATCGAAATATCGATAACTATCGAAATATCGATAACTATCGAAATATCGATAACTATCGAAATATCGATAACTATCGATATATCGATAACTATCGATATATCGATAACTATCGACATATCGATAACTATCGACATATCGATATTTCGATAATTATCGGCATATCGATAAGTAAAATATATCGATAGGTAAGTACCCGATACTTATCGATAGGTGAAAACAGTTATCGCCCATCCCTAGTCAACACACAGTGTGGAACATCGCCAACAACAACAACTTACACCCCTATAAGTTTAAGAAAGTGCAAGAGTTACGGCCGGGTGACCATGAAAGGAGGCTGGAATTCTGCAACTTAGTCGTCCAGGAGGAAGAAGCTAATCCGAACTTTCTGAGGAGCGTGCTAGTTACTGACGAGAAAGGATTCTCAAGAGAGGGGACCTTCAATCCTCGTAACAGCCACTACTGGGCGGAGCACAATCCTCATGAAACGTTTACGCGAGGATACCAGGACAAGTTTTCTTTAAACGTTTGGGCTGGCATCCTGGGGGACAACCTACTGGGGCCTTACATCCTCCCTCCGCGTCTAAATGCCCATAATTACCTGATTTTCCTGCGCGAGGTGCTACCAGAACTTTTAATGGATGTTCCAGTGAACTTGTACTGGGACCACTGGTTCCAGCACGATGGGTGCCCTGCTCACTACGGGCGGCAGGTGAGGGAACACTTGGACCAAACCTATCCGGACAGATGGATCGGCCGTGGAGGTGCGGTGGAGTGGCCTGCCCGCTCGCCCGACATCACCCCATTAGATTTTTACTTGTGGGGTGTGATGGAAGCGCACGTCTACGAGACTCCCGTCGAATCCGAAGAGGACTTAATTGCGCGCGTCGTCATGGCCGGAGAGGCTGTTCGCCAGGACATAGGAGTCTTCACGCGAGTTCGAGGGGAGTGGTTGGCTAGATGTAGGAAGTGCATTGAGAACAACGGTGGCCACGTTGAACACTTGTAAACGTTATTGCTTTTGACTGTCGTTTTCCCTCCTTCCCTCCCATGTCGTTTCCTCGCGCTAACTCGCTTTGCATCGCTCCGCGCGAAACGTCGGTCGGTTGGGTTGCCTACATACAGGCGTGAAATTCCAGAAGATAAATTTGGTTCTGGCGCCCTTATTTTGGATTTCCGACCCCAAGTGTCCTATATGAAAAGACTTCCCCTAGGCACCCCCTATACGCTCCCAAACGGTGGCAGGTACTATAGGAATCACCCTGTATATGTATTTAGTGACTATCTATTATTATTACCAATGAATAAAATAGTTATGTATGCATCATGCCGAGGGCGACAGAACCCGGGGGATCGCCTGAGACTCCTCATGGAGAGGAATTGTACGAACATCTGAATTGAACATTATCTTCGCTCAAGAAATTTCACTTCATTTTTGTTGTAGGTAAAGTCGAACTGTCGAAGCATGTTATACCACACATGGCAATGATTCTTGAAGGAAATTGAATTCCCTACAACCATCCACTTATACGTTAAAATTGAACAGGTAATGAGTTCGAAGAACAGTTCGACCGAAAACGTGAGTTTTTTGAAAATTTCTCACCTTCAAGAGTCCGTAGCTGGAAAACGATGCGTTTTTTGAAAAAAATGTAGGTATAGAAACAAAGTTGTAGAATATTTTATGAGCTTTCAATTTTGACAACTCTCCATTTTCAAAATAAAACTGTACCTTCAACCCCCTTCCCTCATCCCCCCGGGAGCACCGAAATCGCTCGGGACTTTCTTACACAATCATCAGGGGACCTTGAACCACACGTTCCCGAAAACTGGAACTACACGAATTATTTTTTCTATATTTCCTAGAATGACTGGACTGTTGCCCAACAAACACATTTTAAAGACCCATTGTTTGCGCAACCTCCCTACAACCAAAGAGTGGTTACTCTTTGCTACAACAATGTTCTATTGATAATTATTTTCATTAATAAATACAGTTAGAAGTGAAAGGTTCCACCCTGTATATACAACTTACGACGATACATGCATTTTTAAGTTGCCAACCATGCAATTTCTAGGTGGGAAAAGCTGCCCGCACCATCTAAAAAGTACGAACAGGGGTTACGTTGATCACAATGAGTTGATCATCTTGTCTTGAATGGCGGTCTTGAACGCGTCTCTCCACAAATGTTTGTTGTTATTTTAATGCAGGTAGTAATCTTTGCATCTCTGTATATCGTATTTGTGTTTTGTATGCCACATTTTATATTTTGTGTGTATTTGAATCTTTGTTTTTGAAATTTACTAGGTTTAACCGCAATGCAGAATCACATATGTGTAATACCGTTATGCTATTGTTTGTAATTGTTTACGTTTTTGGTGTAATGCTTGCTTAATTTATGTTTATTGATGTTGATTACTTGGTCTTGTCCCTGAAGTAACATTCATATAAGTTTTGATCATTTTATTTTAATATGTGGAAATTACCGATTCGTTTGATGTATGTATACTGACTTGGTGTTTGTAACTAACAATTTTCTCCGTGAATGAAGCAGTCACGGGGGTGGTAAAATCTGTAACCATTTGAAGTACGACACCTAATTCCGTGATTGTCTTCGACATTCAACTGTAGGCTCGAAACCCCGAAACCAGGGGCGGGTTACCTATCTTGCTGGAGCGGGATTACGCTAATCAAAGCACTTCAGTTTAGAATCTATGTGCGATAAATGAGTGGCGATTCAATAATTTCCACATATCTTGATTTTAGTTAAATTTGTCTACAAGGCCATGTAATTTTCCCTCTTGCTTTTAACAAAAGGACTTTATTCCACCAAAGATGAGTCACATCCTGTGTATTTCACCCTTTCTTAGAATCTTGGTATCTGCTTACCTGACCCATAATTCCTAAAACTTGTTTTTAATCTATATGTTACCTCTTGAAGTTTACCTGCTACTTTTTGTGATGTTTTAATTTGATGTTACGCATTCACATCATTACAAACAATTAATTTTACAACTCAATTTGATATTAATTTGACGGTTGGTTTTTTTTATTGGCAAGTTCCTTTTTTCCCAGCCTATTTCTATTTTTATTCAGTGCACTACAAATTGTACCTATGAAAGCATTGAAATGAAAGTAACAAAAACGCAGCAAGTTTAAATTGCTCATTCATTAACAATAATAATTGCGATAATTATTAAATAAACTTTTCACATTTTGAGTGTTTTATTTTACGTTCCTTCCCTGCTGTGCTTCAGGTCAAAGCGTTATCTACAACTAACGTAAGGGTCCCGCCTTAGATCGATGTTTGATCACGTCCCACTTTTCAAATTTAAGCGGGATCTTGTTTAGTTTTGGAGGGAATAGTCATTCGGGTGGCCATTTTTAAACGTTGCCGGGTTGATTTTATTTTCGTGTTCTTGTGGTTAGCGTAGAACCTGGAGGAAGTACACTACAGAAGTAAAAATATTAATATATAGTAAAGGTAGAAATGGAATATTTTCTGTCTGTGTCAGCCACTCTGATGAATGGGTTCATGTTCTATCCAAGACCATTCTAATTTTGAATCGAGTAATCAGGGAAGCATGCTTTGGTTGTTTTACCAATGCATAGTTGATAGGTAACCATTTCTCACTTGAAACCAAAAAAAAACAGGAACTAAAAGATGTTTAGAACTAGAACTGTATTTCCAGTGGATCCGGATCCTTGGAGCCGAAAAAGAAATCGAAACCGGATACACAAATATTTTTAGAACCGCAATTTTTCGTTAAACGTGTCAGAACCGGAACTGTTACCTTCAATAAGTCCAGACCTCGGACGTTAATTTAATACACTTGATAAGCTAAAGAATGGCCATCCCAGGTAGATTTCAAAGCGACTCAAAACTTTACCATTAGTGAAAGAATAACATTCCGTAGCTAACATTGTTAATTAGCCGAACCTTGTCCAGTCCAGTAAGGTATCTGTAGGTTCTGGATACGGTAACCTTAGATTAAAGTTGTATTTTGATATGAATATCGCTAAGTATCTTGATCACTTCGACTTCTACCTCCGCACGGGCGAAAAAGTTAATAGCATTCAAAAAAGTCCGATTCATACGCAAAGAATTAAAGCCGCTAATCAATCTAAATGAGTTTAGATCATCAAATGAAAATGAATAACTTTCTTTTTTTTATAAAATATTAGTAGGTATACGTAATACGCAAACAAAACGCGTTGTTTATGGTCGAGTTCTATACATCGTAACATCTGTAAAACGCTCATGTCTACAACTCTTGAAAAATCACTGTGGGCGTTGACGTTATACATACTTACCTACCTACTACAGAACTCAAAAAACAAAAAAAAACCTGTTTAAAATCGAGGATGTATAACTACATAACACATACTTACTCTCGCATTTGAAAGAAGAAGATACCAGCTAGGCTAGAATCCAAAAATAATATGAAACCTCGAAATCGTAAACACAATGCTGATACTAGTTAAAAGGACAGTGTTCGAATACAGGCTCAAATAAACCGATAGCACAAAAATTATGAGTCAGAGCCGTCAGAGGTTGAAGTTCACCATGTCAAATCTGAGCGGTCGGGACACCTAATCTAATCTACTTTGTACTTATAGGATGTGATATGATGTAATAGTACAAAAATAGCAATTCTTAAACTGCCCCCAAAAAATACAAGTAATAGACACTGCTATATGACTCGTTTATTTATTCGTACCTACTCACAACATGATATGAATTTTCTCTTTTCGTGGAAAAACATTAAAAAAGCGACCTTTCACAGTCGAGTTCATTTGGTGTGGCATAATCACAGTTCATTGAAAGGCTCTAAACGTTTACAGTATAATAGGTACACAATTTTACGATGATCGGGCGTCATAAACGGTTACCTACTATGGCAACCGTTCACTCTCACTTACTGATCAACTAATGTTACATATTGAAGAAATACCTACCTACCTCATTTGTGTGCCAATATTTCAACATTCTGACCTTATGATTCAAATTTTTGTTTTTAAGTAGGTACCTACTAAGTTTAAGTGGCAAGTGATAAGATATTTAGAGTAAGTATCGGACTGATTGGGAAAAAGTAACAGAGACGGTTGTATCAAATATTTGATTAGGCACATAGTGTAGGTATTAGGAAAAATAAGATAGGTAGGTGCGCCGGGTTATCTAAAATATGGTTTATAAGAAGGACGAACAGGGCAACAAGTTTATACGCTATTATTAATTATAAAAGTAGTAGAACCAACGTTACACAAGATGGACAGAGTTCTTTTGCTTCTGTTTACTGTTGTGGTCTTGGCAAATGCAGGAGAACATAAAAAAATAAGTAAGTAGTCAAATTAAAAGACGCACGTCATTACATCTTAATTGCAGGAGTGTACTTTAAGCAGTGCGAAAAAATAGACGACGAATGTATACGAATAAACGCACAAAAAGTTGTTGACCTTATACCCATTGGTGAGTATAACATAAAGTTGCTATTGACACAATAGGTAATATGCATGTTTTTAGATAAACCCCTGGAAGTAGACGAATGGACTATTAAACCTACCAAGATTCTGAACTATGAGCAACATTACAAGAACATAAAAATGTATAACCATCATCAAGGGAAAGTTGCCAAAGCACAGTAAGTAGACATTTTGAAATTGTTTGGTTATGGACTGATTTGTTCATAGTTTGGACGCAAATGAAGCCGAATCCACGTGGAAGTTGGAAATGGACGTTTATGTTCCGGAGGTTGTACTTTCTGGGGACTATGAGTTTAAACCTGGCAGTACATTATATGGCGTGGACGTTGCAAGTAAAGGAAAAGTATCGTACTTCCACAGTAAGACACCTACTGTCGATAATTCTTTGCACACCTAAAATGCGTTCACTATTTAGGGGGATACAACGTTACATTGACGCTGTCCGGAACAGTTACATTTGAAGATAAAGCTAAGTTCACCGCAACCGATAGCAAACTTTTAATGTCTGCAGACGCAATGGCGTTCGACTTTAAAACAGGAGATCCGAAAGTGGATGAAAGAATTACTGCCGTTTATAGAGACAATTTTCATGCTATCTTCGAGGATGCAGGTGATCAATACGCCGAAATGTACGCAAAAGTTTATCAAGACATAGCGAACGACCTCATTTTTGATAAGGAAGCAAACTGAACTAACCTGCTACTATATCAGTTAATATTGTACATGTTAAACAAATTAATAAAGCAACCACATGGATTATAATTTATAAAATACCTTTTTCCTCCAACCACCTCAATAAGACGCTATTTTGTGACAGTGTTCGGTACGTAAAATTGGCGTTTTCCGGATCACCATGGCAACTGTACAAAAAGTGGATACTTTTGGTCCTAGTACCAAAAAGAAATTGACCTTGAAAGTTGGCCAATTAAAAAATTACAATCACGGTGATATGTCACATTGACATCGTTTTCATTGCAGGTTGTAAGATATTTCTATACATACAAATCAAATATTTTTGCATATTCAAATAACTATTTTGTTATACCTGAATCACAATCTCCACTCAACTCCACTCAAATGCGTGCGAAAAAAGGCCTTTAAAACACACGTGCTTTAAAGTTGCTAAGTAATGATCAGGGTAATGATACTTCAAGTATGACTTTTGAAACTGTCATCTGGGTTAAATAACAAATCCTCTTAGGTCGCTTTCTGTAAATGCAGAACATTTCTTTGGCTTGTACCTATCCTTTGGTTGAAGTTCACTTTCACAAACGCGCGTAATTTAGGGTATGCTGTCAAATCTGTTCCACATTTTAATCGCAGCATTGTTTGAAGTTTTGAATGAATGCACCAAACGATAGAATATTAAATACCTTTGACATTTCCTTCATATATGCCAGCATTATCGATGTATTTAAGACTTTATTTGTAAGTAACTTCCTATTCATCCATGGAAACAACTTTTCATATTTTTTTCTAATGGGCTTTACTGGATTTGGATTTTACATCTACCAACGTTTGTTTAGATTTTACAACAAGCGATTTAATTGACGGTGTATTACCTTTTTCAACGGAAATCGTTTTATTTACAATTGATTTTTATAAGCAAACGTCAAGTGACATTTCCATGGCAATCGTGAAATTACGAACACCCAGCCCACTTAATTAGATATGTATTCGAGTATAACGTCAATATGATTTCATTGTATTTCCTATTTTTAAATTATACTGCAGGTATAATAAAAAATACTATGAGATACACGTGTATAATTGGTCTTTAAAGCACTTGCAACGTTAAAGGCACTCCGCTTCGCGTCATGCCATTAAACTTGTTGCGCGTGCTTTAAAGACTTGATTATGCACTTGTATCTTAATATACTATTATAGTAGGTAACCCAGCAAACACTCTTACCTTTAAAAAACGTTTTTAAGGCGCTTTGAAAGGATAAATTCGGTACGGTTAAAATGCGATTTTGATTCATATATGTAAACCACATGTTCTCCGTTAATAACATGTATATAAATAAACGTTCTTTTAGTAATAATTTGATAAACGTATATAATACCACTTTGAGTTACCATACGGGAATATTGGTTTACTTACCTCCTCTAAAATACGAATAAAATTAGGTATATTCTACGTATCAAAATTACGTATTGTTTATGTCATATTCCAACAAAACTATTATAAGAAGCGTTGAAAATAAGTAGATAAAATAAACGTTTTTTAGCATTCATATGTAAACGTATATAATACGTTTTTAATTTACCATATACTGGAATATTGGGTTGCTTATTTGCTCTACAAATACCAAAATAAATGACACGATTTCTACTTATTTATTTTGCACATTCTTTTACACTCACGTATGCATTTGTATATGAGTTGTTAGGGTATTTGGGAAGTTGAAAATTATGGTAGGATTATATTTTCTGATATTCATTTTCATTTGAACGTGGTAAATCAGTATTCTGGGCAGGAACCTGCAACGACCACGCAGAGTTGGCTACAGAACCTAGTTTAAACTCATCTTTTTTTACCCTGCAGAGTGTAACGATGCACCCGTTTTCCACCCCGGAGTTCATACCCGAAGTTATGACCACACCGTATATTTGTGTAGTCGACCAGCTTTGCTGAACACCCGGTATCGAGTTTGTCGCTTCGATATTACCATTGTATTTATGCGTTTATAAATAATGATATTACTGAAGAGTTCCAGAATTATTACGCATGGCCGGCTTTTAGGTGTAAACGGTGTAACCCGTCACCTTAGTGTAAAGTAAAGTGTAAAGAATATTTACACTATGCCGTCACTTACGCGAAAAAATGTCGGACCACAAACGTAAAAATCCGTACACGGGAAGCATATTCATAAATAGCAGACGCGTTATCCCTTCGGAAAAGCATTTTTGTACAACTTTACTTTTCAAAAAAATGTGAGAACACACCTACAAATAGGTAACCTAATGTTCAATTCCGCAGAATTGGAATTAGAGGGACATTGCCTGATAATAAAATAAATGAACCTCTATAAAGGGTGTTAATTAATTTCATGCAGATATTTCAGGGGGGTGATACTCGTCAAAATAAGAAAAAAATGCAAATATATGCATGAGCTAAAAGCCGCCGTTTTCGTTATACCGGGTAACAAAGAAAAATACATTGCCTAGGGCGAGATTCAGGAGTAGAAAGTCTACCCCTGCTCTTCCATCTAACCCATAATGATTCCAGTTAATCGACTATGAATCACAGAAAAGAAATAAAAATATTAAAAATAAGATAAGTAAAATAGAAACAAAATTCAAAAGTGCTCTAATTATTATTGCCGTAGCAACTTCGAAATAATGCGAGTTCTAAATGCTTTGAAAGTGTACTTACTGATGTCCATATCTAGTGTATTAAACCATTGCGTTAAATTATAAGAGAATGACCTCTCAAATATTGCCGTTGCATGAATAGGTGGTGTAAGCAGCCCTTTATGGCGTAAATTTAAGGTATGAACATCAGTTCGAAATTTCAACTTGTTATAGAGATAAGGAGGCGTTTTATTTATTAATAGTTTATAATAAAAGCTCCTGGCTCCCCAAATTATTTTGGAGCAAAAATGTATCAAGGTTTTTTGTAGAAAAAAATTGTTTACGTCAATCAACCGTATTAGTTTTAATTTTTTGCTTAATAAAGACGGAAAATTGGAAAAATAGACCCCCATCTTTTTCAATCATCTGTGATGCCATAGAAAATTATAATACAAAAACTACGCCAATATCCGTCATGCCATGGAATTGTCCCATATAAAGACCAGTTGTGGATTATGTGTTTCGAATTTCGATACAGTAGGTAAGTAAATAATGTGGTATTGAGATATCCAATATTTAATCTGGGTAAATTTATGACAAGATAAATTGGGAATGTTGTGCTCGGATAAATCGTAAATTTTAAATAACTCCTCAAAATCAAAATTGATACGTTACCGTTAAATCAATAAATACTGTCAACTGCAGGTAATACATCGTCTGCTTTATTTATGATGCAAACGTTATAGGTTAAAATTTAACAAATACACAATTCCATGCAATTTTCCTAACTGAAAAATTTATCTTAAATTAATACACAATTTGAATGAATGTTCTATAGCGAAATTCGACTATAATCGGCAAAAAAATCAAAGATTTAAATACAGTACAGTTGTCAAAGTAAAAAGCTCAAAAATTACGGTACTTAACGTAACTGGTGAAGATGCAACAGACGAAAAGATCGCCACTAAACAACGGCTTTACCTCTTATAAAATTCGACCATGTCAGGGAGGGTTCGACGGTTTTTCCAACCAATCCACAGTATTTGGATATGACCGCCCTAAAAAATTATACCTTCTTTAATTCATTATGCAGCCTGCTAACGTGCGAAAAATCTGTAATTGGTCTTAAAATTCAAATTAATTAACAGTGCTTTTCTTGAGACCACACTCATGCCCTAACCGGATGCTGTTTACTGCAACTCATTTAATTAGCAACGGTTAATTATACCTAACTAAATGGGCGAAATGAAATTTCTAAATTGATTGAATTATTTATTTATTTATTGATTTAGTTATTGATTTATTGATTTATTTATTTATTGATTTACTTATTGATTTATTTATTGATTTATTTATTTATTTATTTACTTATTGTATTAGCGCATTATAGAAGAGTATTCAAATTGTAGCACATTAAAGCTAAGATAATTACAAAACAAAAGTCGGTTACCTGTAACAATGATCACTTTGCTTTTTAGCACATTTCCACAAAAATAAAAAAAAATGCGTTATTGTGGCCACTTTGTCCGTCCGTCCGTCCGCACTTTCGTTGAGACGCTACTAGTTCTTTATCTTAAGAGCTATTGTTCTACTTTTTGACATTCAACCGTAGGGTTTTTAAAAGGGACCGCTACAACGTAGGCCAGAAATCGGACGGGTGAACCGATGGAGATACTCCAATAAGGTTTTAGCTAGTATATTTAAATCTGTGATAATATGTACATACGCCTAGTTTCACCGAATTCGTCTTTGTAGGTACTAGTTTTTGGTTCAGGACGGATGGAACCACGAACTTCGGCATCAGACACACAGGCGCATCGACAGACGTCAACTATTGGAATATGAAAATCTACCGATGCTGTCGTCACCGATTGATAGATTTTCAAATTTGGCAATTTATTTGACACCTTTGTCAGATTATGTCACCCAAATTATTTTAAATCACTTTATATTTTATGCCGTTCTAACGAAGTCATTTTATTTTTACCATGGAACCAAATGCGATCGACAAACACTACAATATGAAAGAGTTTATTAACGTCCAAAAAGACTACGCGCAAACAAAAGCGGAGGATTCGGCGAACCTGATGGTTCGACATTTACAAGTAAACCAGTTTCCCTAATTATTCACTCAGCTAATCTTCTTTCAAGTTGTTAAGCGTAACTATCGACTTAAGCACATTTGACCCGCACGTCAGTGTAGTGGCAGAGTTCTTTGTGAGTCTGCACCGATTACTTTCGGCGGTGGAACCTGGATCTCTCCTGGCATGGTGTAGTGTTAACGTGCTATGTGTCGCATGTAAAAACGCAGCCGCGAGGACCGCCCTAATCCACACTTACCAGTTTTTGCCGTTACTGTCCAGGTTACTAGGGAACCAATTGACGATGGAGAAAAAACTGCGCCTCTTAACCCTGATGCAAGTTCGTATTGTGTGGTGGACCGCACAGTTTCGGACTTCATCCAATTTCCTTTAGGAGTTGACGTGCGGAATTAAAATCTCTTGGCAGATTCCCCATTTACCTCACCTCATGTCCACGCTCACGCGTTGGATCACAGGCGGGGATGACGACGATATTGCTACCTTATCCTTGGCGGTTTTGGTGAATTTGTGCTACAAGAACCTACCTGCGGTTTACACGCTGTCAAGATGTGTCGACATTAAGAAGTTTTTGCGCACCTGTTTGCTTTTACAAGTAAGAGGGTTGAACTTTACAAACTAATCACGCATTTCCACAGGGGGTGAGAATTGAGGTTCACGTTTGCAAGTTATCAATCATCTTGGATTATATGAGCGGAACCATTCCGGAAGGTGTCATACTGAAATTAGTCGAAGTGACTTTCAGGTCATTAACAGAAGCGTTCAAGGCACGCGATTCGATATTACTTCGACATATTGTGGAGTTCTTTCTTGACGTTTGGGACCAACGGCGCCATGGTGATGTGTTGAACGATTTTAGTACTTACGATGAAGAATTCGAGAAGATTCTCATGGTACGCGTCTCCCTATAGACCTTTGAAACTAACACGACTTTCTGATTAGGAACTTGAAAACACTGCCCTAAAAGGAAAGGGCGATGTACTCGCAGATAACGAACCGCAATGTGTATCGTCGGTCTTAGAATTTATTCACTTCGTAATTGAGCTAAGAGAGCCGAAAATAGAACAACTAAATGCGAGATTGGTAAATATTGCATTGAAATGGTTACAAGTAGAGCTTGTGTCTTCAGATGCGTTAGCCATTTTACGAACACTTGCGATTAACGTAACAGTAGAGACGTGCGCCGTATTAAATCCATTTTTAACCACCTTGCCGCTATTCTTATTGCACTTGGTTAACGTCGAAGGTGAAATTCTGGATGAAGGTAATAAGAGATTAACTTCCCTCATGGAACTTTTGGGGGCTTTGATGCAAATTGAAAACACAAGGGCGCAAGTTGTTGGAGTACTAAAAGAAGAAATATTTTTTAAAATATTTTCACCGCTGCTGGAGACCACTACACCAAGGATTCGAGACAGTAATGCTAATGCTTATTCATTAAAAGCTACTATATTGTACATCAAAGCCATTGCACTAATTTATGAATTAAAAAAATACGAAGAAACTTGGAAGGTTTTCTTTTCGGACTTAATGCAACACAAGTAAGACGAAGACGCTCCCTGTCTGAATAACGTAAAGTGTTTAATTGTAGGCAAATCCACATGGTACTGGCACAAGCTTTGTGTTTTGGGAATAAACCAACCAAACTGCTTACAATGCGTCTGATGGCAGATGATTATTTCCCAAAGGAAGCGGTATCCGAAATAATGTGCGACATTCAGCCCGTGATGGACGATGGTCCCAATGAGAAGAGCAACAGCACTCGCCACATGATGGAAAATTTGTGCTTCCCCGCAATGTCAGTGACCCAGATAAAGAGACTTGATGAGATAATAGACATAATCAAGGTAATCCTTTTCCTTCAATGTTGTTCTACAAAAGTTGATACAGGAAGCTTACGAGAAAAATGATTTGGCGAACATCTCCATATCAGATGTTATGGAATTGTACGAATATAAACTGGCAACGTTGAGCCACGCTGAACGTGCAGCAATTGCAAGCGTGGAGGCGGCATCTTTCAGGTGCACCCATCTGCAACACAAATCTGCGCAACTGACAACGGAATTGTCTAAAGTGCATCAACTATTACTACGCGCGCAACAACGCCACGAAGAGTCTTCTAAAACCATAAGCACTACACTAGCCCAAAATACAGAGCTACAAGACCTGTAAGCGCATTAAATTTTTTAAAATTAAAAAAATAACGATTTTCTTAGACTAGGTAGAGAAAAGATCAATTTTAGCAACATACTGTCGCAGAAGGAGAAGATAATTGACGACCAAGCTCATCAGATAGACAGCACCAATTCTCGCTTAAAAGACGTCGAAAACGAAAAACTGATTTTAAATCAACACCACACCGCTCTGCAGGAGAAGCTCCGACAAAAAATTACGAAATATAGACAGCTGTTGGAAAGCAAAGAAAAGGAACTGTCAAAACGGGAGGGTACCATAAACGCCCAACAAACGGTAGAGAGCATTTTGCGGTTGGTTCTAATAACTGCGGTCGCATTTTTAGCAAATTTTGCAATTGGACACTTTGGTTAAGCGAGGCGAAGTAAAATTGGATAAGAAAAGGAGAGAATTCGACGAGGTTTTGGCGGAGTTACAAAATTGCAAATCAATCTTGGGTACCATTACGCAACTAACCAGTCCGCATTATGCTTGTAAAGATGAAGAATAATATAATTTGCCATGCAATATAATTTTTATATTATATAATAGTGTTAATTATACATTAAAGGCCATTGGTACAAATATGGAACGAGTCCTAAATTCATTTTTTTAATTGTATATATTGGTCCTTCAAGCCGGAATGAGACTCTTGTTCTATCACGTAAGTTGTATGGCGGTATTTGCACGATGACTCCGTCGTGCATCTTCCATTTTCAAAGAAAGCAATTAACTATCTTACAAAAGGGTTGAGGGGTTCCACTGGGGTTAGAACCCCGGAAACTTAAAACTGCACTACTCCTAGCATATTATGCGCCAGTCTAACATATCAAAACCACAGAATTGCCAACTTTGTAACGCCAGATATTTTTAGTTGTTTCAAGTGCTGTAGCGCATTCTAATAATCTTCGTAACTAGACCAATCTCTGTTACAAGATAATAAAAAAATCGTTCCTGCTGCTTAGCAGATAAGCTTTACCAACCTCGGGACAAGGTAAACAAGCAAACCGGAATTTGATCTCTACGGCAAAATACCCCAGAACCTTTTCACGTCCTACCCTAATTATGCTGTCAAAAGTCAAAACCTGCTCGCGCCTACAATTTTACATATACAGGGTCGCTGATAAGTCTGAAAACGGTAGATTATTGTGGAAAATATACCTACAAGTAATCGGAAAATGTTTTTTAGAATAGATTTAGGATTCTTCAATGTCTTTCAGACAGTAATAATTTTGCACGGTTGTTCATAACAGCGTGGAACACAAAAATCGATGATGTCGGGCTGTCTGTACACTCATTTCCGGCTAAACCGCTGAACCAAATTTGGTACACATATTCTTAGACATCAAAGAAAGAGCTGAAGCTAGCCACATTGATTTTTTTTAACGGAGTAGCCTGTAGGTACGTGTACATACCTTGTATTATTCTCCGATAATCGACCGTTTCCAGGCTTATCAGAGATAGTCAGTTTGATTTGATCAGTGGGTATGGCCCGTGAAAATTCTAGGGATCGTGAGAAAATATTTCGGCAGTTGGCCCGGGTCAAATTTTGGCGGTTTATCCGGGGTGCAAGGTCAAATTTTGGGAATTGGCCCGGTGACAAGATCAAGTTTTGGCAGTTGACTCGGGGTGCGAGATTTCGGCAGTTGGTTCGGTGGTTGGCCCGGGGGTATCCGTCATCATGGATGCTGGACCCATCTGAGATGATGAGAGACGATGAACCCGTGCTAGACCATCTTTGATGCTGGAACCGTCACTTTGCCGTCATCGGTGGTTGCTAGAGAAAAATTTTTCCTGGTGTTGGGAACCCTCGATACCTGTAATAGAAGGATAACGCGTAACCATTTGAGGTACGGAGGCTTTCATAGTTTGATAGTTAGCCCAGACGGTGTACTTTGAACTTTAGTCATTTCCCAAATTGCGTTTATTTCTAGGAATTTTATGTGTGCTATAAATAAACTTCCGGTGATGTGAAAAAACATTTTTTAAAATATTAACAAGTAATAAAATTTGTATATAGGTAGGATAAGATACGCAATCTGTTTAAGGGTTATCGAAAAATAGGTGGACTGGGAGATTAATAAGGCTTTAAGTTTATTTACCCTAGATAGAAAGAATTTACTTATTCTTTATCTGCCTCATTGACAGCCCCTAGGACAGCCCGCTATGCGATAATCCGTCCCAGGTTCACAGTTGCATCCTCATACACGAAAATGTAATTGCACAAGGCACACGCATTCACCATCCAACTCCGCGTTTTGGTTGTACACTCGGTTGTGCGCATCAACATGGCGCCTACGCAACCGCACGCTTAAAACTTCAAGGTCAGACGATATTCAAACTACAAACACCGTTCAAAGTCCAAAGCTTGCCGGCCGGCCAATGTTCCGCTGTTCAAAGTCCACAGATTACTCGCCTGTCAAAATCTATTTCTCGTTGTTCGTTACCGGTCAAAGTCCATTTTTAAATTGTTGCTTTGGGTATAACAGATAATGCAAAATTAAATGGAAAACATTTTTTTTCTATAACATTCTGTATATACGGGATGGTGACTGACGAACGCGCCATAGGATTTTCAATAGTAGTTTTTAATTTCCGATTATTAACGAGCTCCTAGCGTCCGTTAGCACGATATCTCGATAACGAATGGACCGATTATAATAAAATTTAGTAGATGGATTCTTTATCAAATTTGTAGATCGGAATTTGTGAATTGGCAATGTTGCCCAATAAATAAAGAAGGTCCTTTTGACATCTCCGCGAGTTATGAACCGAATTGCATGAAATCTTTGAATATAAAATTAGGAAGAAATCTAAGCCTGTACTTTCGCGTGGGTCTCTAAAAGTACCTTGAGCGATAGATGGAGCCACGAAATGAACGTGAAAAGTACCTTTGGATTTATATGCGCGCTTTCCGAAGGCAGTCACTGCTCTTCCTTCTTACAGAGCGTTTTATGTGTAGGACAAAGATAGCCTGAACTCTCCCACTTGCGCTCATTGATTTGTTACCGTACTCTTATGTTGACAATAGGCGCGCGTACATAATTGAAAACGCTGCAAGTACCAATTTAGACACAGAAAATTTTATATTAAAAGATGAAATTCAATATGCGTATAGCTTTAGCCAAATAAAACGCAATTCCAAAAATTGAGCCTAGTGCCATGTTCCAAATTTGGTTTTGTGTAGGATGTGCAGTGCCAACTTTTTTATTTATAGCAAAGACTATCCTCCTACATAGTCTTTGTTTATAGCAATTAAATGTAATTTTATACATATACACTTTAAATAAAAGCAAAACTAACAGGTTTGAAATTTGGTTTTGCACATGCTATAGCCATACCCAAGAGCTCGTTTTCTATATTTGTTTAGTTTATTTTAGAAATAAAGTCTATTATGGTTTTTGGTCGAAAAAAAAATTACGAATGCGTACATACTATTGTTTCCTATTTTATAAATTTGCAAACAGTAAAAATGTAAAAATTAAAAACTGTCGCGTTTATAAAATCGGTAATGCCATGGAATTATGAAATCAAACAAAAGCGCCTGCATTTACCATTGGTTAGCTTTGTTTGATCTCAAACTGCGAGGGCACGGCTGATTTTCTTAAAAGCGCTAGTTTTTAGTTATCCAATTTCTTGGTTTCAAAGTTTAGAAAATTAGAAGCTATAGTTTGCATGGATTCGTAATCTTTTTCTCTACATAAAACCTAAATAAACTTTATCTCTAAAATAATTAGGGAAGCCAATGTTCAGAAATGAAAAAATTACTATTAAAATTTCTAAGGTGCGTTGTTCAAGTCACCACCCGGTATATATCTCTAACAGTAACCAAGAGATCCGCTGTGACTGTATATAGAATTCGAGAAAAGTTGGTTTTGAATTTGGATTTTGTTCAACATAGAAAATTTACACATATACCGCTTCATAGCGAACGCGAACAAAAGTGTGTCTGGTGATAACAAGCGGTAACAAGAAACGCATTTGACGTGCTACTTCAATTTCAGTTTATGAGAAGAATTTCATTTCAATGCTTTTCTAAATAAGAAAGTTGGAACTGCGCATGCGCAAACCTAAATTTTGAAACTAATGTTAGATTTTCCTTCGTTCCAAGCGCCTAAGTATCAAATTTCACTTAAATGCTTCCATAGATAAAAAAAGTTGGCACTGCGCATGCGCAAAATAAAATTTTGAAACTGGCGCTAGATTTTCCTTTATCCCAAGTGCCTATGTATCAAATTTCGTTTAAATTCTTCCATAAAATAAAAAAGTTGGCACTGCGGATGCGCAAAACCAAATTTTGAAATTGGCGTTTGATTTTCCTTTATTCCAAGTGCCTATGTATCAAATTTCATTCAAATACTTTTATATGTAAAAAAGTTTGCAATTCGGTTTATAAATGGTCGAGATGCGAAAAGGGCACTATGAATTTTGAATCGATTCGATTCAACTTTTGGCATTGCGTATTATATGGCTAAAGCTATGCCCATATTGAATTTCATGCAATTCAGTTTATAACTAACGGAGATGTAAAAGCGATCGAACATTTCTAAACAAAGTTATCGTTCACACGGACAGATAGATGGACAGACAAAGGAACAGACGGACAGACCAGCATGCAGACGACAGATAGCAATGCAAAATTATAAACGATCTCTAGGATCGTTAATAAACGGCAAAAGTGTAAAATTATAGAACATGTAAAAAAACGGTTTTTTGTTTTTTTTACAATAACTTTTTTTGTAAGCGGTACAGGAAAAATTCCTTCCTTGGTACAAGACTCGACACCATAACGAACCAAATAGCGAAAAAAGTAGAATAGCTCTTAAGATAAAGAACTAGTAGCGTCGCAAAACGAGCGGCCGGACGGACGGACGGACAAAGTGGCCACAATAGCGCATTTTTTTTCAATTTTTGTGGAAATGCGCTAAAAAATGGTCTACCGATCGCGTGATGTTGCTAGGGTCTCGGTAGACACGCTGGAAGGTACGATTTTCCGAGCGCAGCTGCTGCACTGCTCTGCTAAAAGTACCTCTAAATTATTAAGTGTATATGTTACCGGCAAACTGCGAAATTCGGCATTTTGCCTAGGCAGAAAAGTATAATAAATTCGAAAAAAATCAAGATGGCGGCCATTTTTTTCCAAGTTCCACCAATGCGACAAAGTGCGATTATTGAGGGGTTAATAAGGACCCTATTGGGTACTCATTTCCGCAGAGATCACTTTGTTACTAATTTTTTCTACCTTAACCACCTATTTTGACTAGCCTAATAGCAAACTCTCTTATTTATAAAGGTATTTAAATGAAATTTGATACATACTCGTATGCACTTTGAATAAAAGCAAATTTAATGCCAGTTTCAAAATTTCGTTTTGCGCATGCGCAGTACCAACTTTCTTATTTATGGAAGCAATTAAATGAAATTTCATACATATACACTTTAAATAAAAGCAAAAATAACATCAGGTTTAAAATTTGGTTTTGTACATGCTATAGCCATACCCAGGAGCTCGTTTGCTATATTTGTTTAATTTATTTTTTTAATCAAAATTAGAAATTACCAATCTGTGTAACGTTACAAAATGAAAGGCTTGGATTTATAGGCAAATAAATTGTTCTTCTTCAGTCTCACATAGCAAATGTAAACCTAAAGCGTCATTAGATAACCCACATACTATAAGTATGTAGGTAAATGACTGTCGGCCACCATTATCGCCACAAAATCTACTTTTAATCAGTTGTGTAAAACGCCTATCAAATAGTGATTTATACACCTTATTAACTGGACCTTCCAATTTCCATTATCCACCCCCGACCTCTAATAAACGTCGGTAACTTAAAGCGGCACCTATAGCAAACGATGAAACAAAGACTGCTTGCTGTGTTACTGTCGTTTTGCTTTTCAATTTTGAAAGTGTCGAATTTGAAGATCGTTAATGAAGACAACTGTGAGTTAAAGGTTATTCGTGCTATTTTTGTCAACGATTCGCCAATTCATATCATATTCGATGGCAATTACACCCAACCGATACGTGGAACTTTGGAAATCCCTCATCTAATAATTAACATCGATAAGCCGATTAAGCTCGCTACAAACATTGGTAAACATTATTTAATTTATGCCGAAAATTACATATCGTTATGGATAATTATGATGAAAATGATTCAGAATAATCACAAACTGTGGAATCGGGCCGTATCTCTGCACGGTAAGTTTCTTATCGTTACGCCATCTGAAGACGTTAAACACTTTTTTAAAGTGTTGTGGGGACTTGGAACATTAAATTCTGGTGTGTATGTGTCTCGCACAAAAAAGTTATACGTGAGCCATCCACATACTCGAAGGAATAAGTGCGGCAAAGCCTTTGAAGGTGTCTCGGTGCAGAAATGCGAAGACACCCTGGAGGTCAACTTTTCTGTGCCTCTCAACGGATGTCCGATTACGTACATGTATTTAAATACCATTGACACTTTACCTAACCGCATTGCACGAGACACCCTATTGCATGTCGGTCATTTATTGAACGTTACAGTTATAATCAAAAAGTATGAAAAATCCCATCTCGATGCCAATATATCTCTTTTTCCCGTTATTTTTTCAAGAGGTGAAGTTATTTTTCACGAAAGTCATACGATCTTCTTTGATGATTGGACATGGGTTATTCCTTTACACAACCATTCCTCCTACATTCTCATCGATGCCATTTTTGAATACACGGTTTGGATCTTAGTGTTCCTAACATTTATGTTCGCACTGATAGCTTGGTGGTTGCTAATAATCTGTTTGGACGGAAGTGCATTCACCCTGCATAATTTTTGTAGTATTGCGATTGATATATTTTCCCTTACAACTGTCGGCGTTTTGCACAAAATACCTAGGCTTAGGATCTTAAAGTGCATCCTGATACTTTATCTTGTATACACAATTGTCATCCAAACAGGTTTCAATGCAAACCTTATAAAATCAATGACTGTAAGAAATTACAAGCACCAAATTGACACTCTGCACAAGATTGCAATTTCAAAATTTCCCGTATGTGTTTCTCCCGCACTTTTCTCGTCCTGTGCTTTTATTGAATCTTCAGTCAGGGACGAAATGGCAGAGAAGATTACAGACAAAACTACTATATGCAAAGAAAACACTTGTGACGATATTGATTTCCCTTGCATTTACGTGGCTCTCAAGTCACAGTTAAGTTTATTTAACGTAGATCTATTAAATTATGAAGTAATTTTTAATAATTCGATAATCGGAAAGAGCTTGGAATGGAAACTGTACACTTCGCAAAGTCATTACCTTATGGAACCTTTAAACAGAATCATTGACTCCATCACTGAAACTGGGATACTTATTAAAATGGCTAACGATGACAAATGGAAGAACGCCAATAAAAAGAATGACGTGGTTGATCCTGTCGTCCTAAATCTTCGTCATGTGCGTGGTATATTTCTGATATATGGAGTTGGTGTGCTACTGTCTTTAATAAGTTTTTGCACAGAAATCGTTTCCGCCACTGTATTTAAAAGGCACACATCCGAGGATATGGATCAAATTTGGAAACACAATCGGATAAAAATTTTGAGGTAGAAGCTACTTCTTCAATTCACTTGGATTTTTTTATGGAAGTACCTATATATATGCGGAACGTAGTCTTTAATTAGTATAATATTGTGACGTTTAGATTAGAAGGTCAATTTTATGTAAGCACCTCTATCCATATGTAATATTTTTGCGGTGGAAATAAAGCACCAATGTTAGAATTTTTTGTTTGTTCTCATTCCATCTTATCCCGACACAGTTGCTTACTGAAATATAATTCATGAAAAGAAGCAAGGAACTTCTCGCATCTGGAACGGAAATGTGGCATAAAGATTTGTGAGCCTAAAGTAGTTAAACCAAAGGGGCACTCTTTGGTTAAACTATCCCAACTGAGTTCATACACGAATATTGATTCCAATGAAAAATTCACTTGTATCGTGTCTTTCAAGAATACTTCTATTTACGGTATTGAATCCAAATAGAAAAATACACTTTATCTTATTTATACGGCGCCTAAAACTACCCCTTGAGGCGTCCAACCTTGGAAAACTGGATTAATCTTCTATTTTGGATTCGTGGACTGGAACAAAAAATTGGACGTTTTCAAATACTACACGTTGAATTCGATACAATTTTCCTCTTCAAGCTTTAAAAGTTCTAAACTATGTGCGAATTATTCACAACTGACGTCGCTTTTATTTTTCAGAACTTACATTGGAGCACAGATATACACAAACAGCAGATTGCTAACCGACGCGTTATGTTACAAAGTTGAATTAATGTCTTGAGAAAGGTCTCAATTTAATTAAGTTGATTCATGATGAGGTTTCAAGGAAAAACGATGGGAGTATCCACAGATATTAGGAAACCAGTCCAAGCCATTCCAGAAGCTTATCTGGTCGGAGGGTGAAAATTTACCAGCACAACCGACCTGTCTTCGGTCTTATATCTGCTTGGAACCACAATCAGTTATCATTTGGATTCACATCCCTCCCCCCCCCCCCCCCCCCCACACACACAACATAGTTCACAATTTTTGAGGCCGCGATTAGAGCAATAAGAAATTTTTCTGCGCCCAAAGTGGACTACCCCTCAAAGATGCGCGCCTTGCGAAAGGTGGTTAATTTCGCCTCTAGGGGAAAAAATCAAAATTCGGTCACGCAGGAGTTGTGCGCGTTTACAAACTGCAGAAAAAGATAGGCAAAAACTAAAAAATCGCCACGTTAGTATAACACGCTAGGAGATGGCGCCCAAATGTCGCCAATCCCACATCATATGTAGCCCTGCCCCGTCTCTAAAGTTGTTAATAATTAGACGTCCCCGGTAGGTAATTCCTCGCCTTTCTACAAGCGTATTTCTACAAGCCTGCCAGCCAGTCCAGCAGGCCAAAGTGAAATTAGAAACTACCTTTTTACAAATAAATTTGCAAAAATGCTCTAAAAAGTAGTCAATTGTCATTAAACAAAGGAGTGGTTCAAATCAATGTCAATGTGGTGGAGATGTTTTGAATGGATCTGTTGAATAAATTGGATTGAAACCTCTTTATCTTCAATTTTTCACACACTTTAAGGCAAAAATGACTCTTAGCCTCTCACATACTTTGTTTGGAAAAATTGTCTCGGCTTATCGAATAAATCTTGTTCATTCACGGGTAGGTAGTGCATCAGTAGCAGATTTAACACAAATCGTTATCATTCAATTAAATGAGGTCACGACATTAATTAATTCATATATTTCGACCTTTCGCGTAAAATAGACCAGAACCGCTTATCTGCTTCAATGAAAAATTCTGTCGTTGCATAGATCAACCTTAACATCACTGCAACTCGAACTTAGTTATCGTGCTCTAGTTTCCAAATGATGCGCGCTATTATTTACTTAATCCTTGCGACCATTTGCGCAACCAGCGCAGTTCCGAATAAGTTTCATACCTCGGGCCACTTTCATAAAAATATAAGGGAAGAGTCGGCGTCTTACTGGAATGAGCAGGCCCAGGCCCGTCTAAAAGAGCAACTGTTGAGACGACCCAACACTGGTATCGCCAAGAATGTCATTTTTTTCATCGGTGACGGCATGTCGATGGCAACACTAACCGCAACTAGAATCCATTTGGGTCAAAAAAGTGGAAGTAGCGGAGAGGAGACCGAGCTGTCGTTTGACAAATTTCCTTACGTGGGTTTATCGAAGGTGAGGCGATGTTCACTGCCTATTTTGATGTATCTATCAGTATTCGTAGACGTACTGTGTGAATAAGCAATTTGGTGAGTCAGCTTGTACGGCAACCGCTTATCTAGGTGGAGTCAAAAGTAACGAAAACACAATTGGCGTAACGGCAGCGGTTAAAAATGGAGACTGCGACGCAATGAATAATGTTTCCAATCACGTTCCATCCACTGCTCATTATTCGCAATTGAAGGGAAAACGTACCGGTCTTGTTACTACAGCGTTAGTTACCGAAGCCTCTCCAGCCGGTGAGCTGAAGGTACAGTAAAAAGCGTGTAATCCACCTTTCCGTTTAGGCGTCTATGGACACACGGCAGAACGCGAATGGCATTGCGATGCGGATGTCAAACGTAGCGGTAAAGATCCCAAAAGGTGCTTAGATATGGCCACGCAACTGGTGCATGGCGCAACAGGTAGCGGGCTGAACGTGATTTTCGGCGGTGGCAGAACCATGTTTTTACCGAACTCCAAAGTCGATGAAGATGGTACGCCAGGCAGCCGCCTTGACCAACGCGATTTGGTAAAGGAATGGGCGCAACGCAAGGGAAACGCCACCAGTAGATACGTCAGTGACAGAGAAGGCCTATTGAATATTACTGATAGTACAGAGTATGCGCTTGGTCTCTTCAATAGTAGCGTTATGGATTACAACCTAGAGCGAAACAAGAGCAAAAAACCATCTTTAGAGGAAATGACACTCAAGGCTATCGAGTTATTGTCAAACGGCAACAAGGGCTTCTTTTTATTTGTCGAAGGAGCTTTAATAGATTATGCTCACCACGATAACCAAGCCCGCATCGCGCTAGACGAAACGGTTGAATTTCACAAAGCGATCGAAGCAGCTGTTAAGGTCACCGATGAGAGGGACACTCTAATTGTGGTAACGGCCGACCATTCTCACTCAATGCTTTTAAGCGGCGGCATGGAGCGTGGTCACGACATTTTAGGCGTTGATACTCTCACTGTGGACTCACTGAATTATACTACCATAAGCTATGGCACCGGTCCAGGGTACAAAGGTTGTGAAAATGGACGTCGCTATAATGTCTCTAAGGATAACTTGAGTACTTGCTTAAACAAGGTGATTTTTAACTTACTAATTTCACTTTCAGCGGATGTTAGGTACAGTTACCCAACAATGGTCCCACTGCCAATTGCCCAGCATGGGGGTGACGATGTTGCCATTTTTGCGCGTGGACCATGGGCTCATCTGTTTAGCGGCGTTCTCGAACAAAACGTGATAGCTCACATTATCAATTTTGCCTCCTGCGTTGGTATAGGAGCAACTGCGTGCGACTGAAGATTCTAGCGTAAATTTGTATATTTCTACACCAGATTCTAAGTTAATTTCAAATGAAGATCACATTATCACATCCCTTCTTTGTTTTATTACAGACTGCCGTTTATTAACGTCCTAGCAGTATGCAGGTCAATTTTACGGCCAGTTTCAAAATTTCGTTTTGCGCATGCGCAGTGCCAACTTTTTTATTTATGGAGGCATTCAAATGAAATTTCATACATATACACTTTAAATAAAAGCAAAACTAACATACCTTACATATATAACATCAGGTTTCAAATTTGGTTTTGCACATGCTATAGCCATACCCAGGATCTCGTTTGCTATATTTGTTTAATTTATTTATTTGTTTGTCGTCTAAATGCTTAATGTGTACCTACTACGGGCAACGAGTTTAGATGGTCACCTACTGTTTTTTAGGTATAGTCATAAAAGTTAAAGGAAAGTACTAGCAAAAATGAAATGTGTGTAACGGAACTCCGTTGGTGAATTTCAATCAATTTAATTCTATTTAATTTTTTTAGATTAAGTTTGGGTATTGTGGTACCTACGCACGCGTGAAATTTCGCATTTACCGCTTCATGCGAATATAAATCTCGAGTAGGTCTAAAGGCGACAGCCAGACGGGTTTGGATAGCGTGTGATGGGGTAGATATTGTAACGTTATTTATAAATTCGGGTTCGATTTATATCAATATTTATTAAACAAAACTAAAACACTATAAAAACCGTACAATTTATATCGATTATTTATATCACACACACTTCGCAATTTATATTTCCGCGCTCGATGTTTCGTCCGTACTCGTTCGGTAGTAGACTCCCCCGATGTTCGGTCCGCAACCATATACACGCAAGCCCGAACATCCGCGCGTACATTCTCGAATAGTCCTACACAATCCCACTATCGCGCGCGTAGAAAATTCCAGAGCGCCAAAGGCGACGTCATGTCTGGAGCATTTCCGTTACACTGCCCCCTTTTAATTCTGGACGTCTCGTTCAGAAACTGCGTTAGTATTACTTTTTAATGCCTCGTGTCGGAATCTGCAGTCAGAGCCTGCTCGACAAACACCTTTCTTGAAAAAGTAACAGTCCACAGTTTTGCGGAGGGGCGTCCCCTGTGGGTTGAAGCAGCATACTGTAATTCGAACGCTAGTGTTTCTAAAAATCACTTCGATCATGGTTCGCACTATCTTCCAGTCCAACCCATCTAAACCACATCCAATCTTCGGGATCGCCAAGCTATTTATGTCATAGTATGCCATGAGTTTCTTTAAGTTTTTTTAAAGCAGACCAGAGGTTTTCATAGGTGGGTTTGCCTTCTGACGTTTTCTTTGAAACCAAGTAGAACAAAGAGCGTTGACTATCTTCCAAGCGCAGTACTTTACCCACTCGTGGTCTTTGCTTTAACAACTCGCTATTCTTCCAAATCTTTTCCGGAATACGGAAGCTATACCTCTACCCATGCGAAGGTCTTCGGCGACACAATGGGCGATGGAAACGTTAATCGGAAGCTCAAAAATATTTTGATAAATTTCCTGAGTAACGCCAAATCGAGCTTTCTTCCGCTGGGCGTAATTTGACATAAAATCGTTAAAGTTTCGCTCGATCCCAAAGCTGCGTTCCTCTTCTCGAATACCTCTAACTTCTTCGTTGTTGTTGGATCCGGCATATCGTGCGAGTCGATTAATGTGGACAACTTTCGGTTTTCGGTGGTTCATTCTGATACGATATATCACGTCATTTATTTCTTGATCACCTCATACGGACCTTCCCATTGTCTTTGTAGCTTGGGAGAAAGACCCCTTCGTCTCTGTGGATTGTGCAGCCATACCAGATCTCCAGCTTCAAAAGTTTCATTGACCGAGCGGAGGTTGTATTGATTTTTCATGCGATCGCTGGCAATCTGAATATGACTTCTAGCCAAGTCGTGAATATCGTTCATCTTCGCCTTTAGTTGGTCAACATAATTTTCACCTGCGACATATTCTTCATGGGGTTTACGCCCAAACTCGAGATCACATGGAAGGCGTAGTTCACGACCCAACATAAGGCAGGCAGGGGTCTGACCCGTGGTCTCGTTGACGGCTGATCGATATGCCATAAGGAACAGGTGGAGGTACTGGTCCCAATTTTTCTGATGTTCTGCCACAACTTTTGAAAGATATTTACCCATCGTTCGATTCATTCTCTCAACCATTCCATCTGACTGAGGATGCAAAGGTGTTGTTCTGGTTTTATTGGCTCCTACCAATCGACAAACATTTTGGAACAAAGCCGATTCAAAGTTCCTTCCTTGGTCTGAATGGATTTCTATAGGAACACCAAAACGTGTAAAGAACTCCTTTACCAACACTTCTGCAACTGTTGCTGCCTCTTGGTTTGGAATGGCGTAAGCTTCAGTCCACTTTGTGAATTAATCCATAGCGACTAGGATATATTTATTTCCGCCATCTGTCTCGGGAAACGGTCCTGCGATATCGATAGCAACTCGTTCCATCGGACTACCAACGTTATACTGCCTCATGGGAGCCTTCTTCTTGGAAACTGGTCCGTTTCCAGTAGCACATAACTCACATTTTTGACACCATCGCCGGACATCTTCTTTACGGTTGACCCAATAGAATCGCTCACGTACCCTTTGCAACGTTTTCGTAATACCAAAGGGTCCTCCGGAAGCGCCGTCATGCAATTTTCGCAATACTTCCGACACTTTGCTTCTAGGTACTACTAATTGCAGCGTCGATTCGGTGCCATCTTCACTTTCAAGGGTCCTATACAACAGGTTGTCTTTCAGAGTCAGGCTATTCCATTGGCCCCAATAACTCTTTACTTCAGGACTTGTGGCACTAATGTCTTGCCAGATCGGGGCTTTGTTTTTTGCAGCTCGACGATAGCCTCTTCCTGTCGACCTTTCTTAGTTTTCCGGCTGCTGCAATGGTTTTTGGCAGTTGCGGCGATGGTGTCCAATCTCGCCGTGGTTCACGTTTCTTTGCCAGTGACTGTATTACTTTATTGATCTTTTCTTCCACTACTTTACTGACCTTTTCTGCCACTACTTTACTGACCTTTTCTTCAAAACTTTCAGATCCACCTTCCTCTTCGATGGTTCTTACCCAGCTGTCACTGCGAGGTTCCACCATACGTACTCGCGCACTTCCATGACTAGCTTTCTTGGCGGCTTCGAATTCTAACGCATGGGCCAAAGCTTTCTCAATTTTGTCGTGCCTAGCCAGTCTCAAAGCCTGCTGGGCATCTCCATCACGAACGGCATCGATAAATGTTTGTACAGCAAGTTGATCAAGAAAGCTCTCCGGTGCCGTAGGGTATGCCAATCGAATCAGTCTAGCGATGTCCGCTTCAAGTTCCTGCAAACTTTCTCCAGGTTTCTGCATTCGGTTTTTGACTTGGGCATAGTAAACTTGCTGAAGGTGTTTATCGCCATATCGCATTTCGAGTCGCGCTACTATTTGTTGGAAGTTCTGTTGATCCTCGGGGATGGTCCGCAACACATCCAGAGCATCTCCTCTCAGAGCAAGAATAAGGGCTGTAGTTTTGTCTTGAAGAGTCCATTTATTTGCCGCAGCCGCTGCTTCAAACTGTCGAACGTACGTGGTCCAAGGAATCTTACCATCAAAAGTAGGTGGCTTTACTCGGGCTTGCTGAACGTCGCCTTCTACTCTTGTATTTGTTTCTGGGTCGACCTTCTTGTAATGAATAGACTGTGGCACCTCAAGAAGACGGTCCATCAGTAATTCATCTAGGACACTACTAGTACGCTCTTCCGTAGTCAGTCGCAAGAATTGCTCGCGCAGCTCTTCATACTTGTGCTCAATCTCGACGAATGTTGCTTTAAATGTTTTGGAAACTTGCGTAATTCTATCTTCAACTTTTTCTTCAATTGATTTAGAGACTTCTTCGATAATCTTTCTAGAATTTTCCTCCATCTTTTCGAACTTCTCGTCCATTTTTCTAGAGTTTTCCTCAATCTTCTCGAACTTCCACCACCAACCAACCATTTATACACGCAAGCAATGTAAGTCCAGTACATTCTCGAATGTTCCTACTATCGCGCGCGTAGAAAATTCCAGAGCGCCAAAGGCGACGTCATGTCTGAAGCATTTCCGTTACAATATTTATATAGTGTAAAAATTATTTTTAACTTCCAATTAAAAGATCTATTAAATTAATTTATACTAATTTAATAGATCTTTTAATTGGAAGTTAAAAATAATTTTTATACTATATAAATATCTACCTCGGCTGTGACAAAAACGGACGCAAGTCGTTAATTTTGCGTTGGTTCCGTTTCGGCTTTTCAGCCCGGCAACGATAGGGAGGGGAACAAGTTGGAAGAAAAAGAGTAAAGATCGCGTAAATAGTTTGGTTTCGACACTAAAAAAAGGGCCGGTTACATAAACGAAAATAATTCCGGGTGGGCCCAAGGTTAGTGGATAGGCCGTTATAAATTCTAGCACCATTGTTCAATGAAACACAGGCGGCTGAGTTGACCTCCTAAAAATACCAATAATAAAGAACTCGCAATTTTGCAAACTATAACGCTTTAAATTTGATGTCACCGCAATTTTCTCTTTACATAGATTAACTTAGTTAACTTTAGTGAAAATATGCTCAATGCATTTTTTGTAAAAAATTGTCTTCTCTTTCATTTTGCTCACCGTATATTTTTTCGAAAAATGCACAGTTTTGGAGATATCTGCGAAAAACCGTTTTTGGCGGCCATCTTGGTAAGATGGCGGCGCCGGCGGCATGTTTCGAATTGTGCATTTTGTGAATTTTAGTTCTACGCATGCAGACCTACAAAATTTTAAAACTTCCTGAGTTATTTCCACGTAAAAATCCTCAATGACAATAATTTCCAAACGGTATGTTTTGCTGGCAAACTTTTTACGGCACAAATCGGCACAAACGTACCACTAACCAATTCACCTAATCTCGAAATTTGTGCCGCCAATGTTCTGCTAACTTCACGGACCCTGTCAATGTGCTAGCGCCCAATTATTTTTTCTTTCCAATATTATTTTAAAATTGATGGCAGATGTTTATTAATAAACTTTTGCTTGTTGCAGAGCTGAGTCGAGCGTTCTAAAAAACCGCTCGAGCGAAGAGCGCTCTAATTTTCTCAAAAATGCTCGCGAGCATCGAGTTGTTTTGCAAAGCGGAACCGCTTACGAGTCCCGAGCACTCCTAAAAGTGCTCGGGCGGTTTATTGCGAGCGCTCGGGAAAAGTGCTCGTGAGCGGAAAAAAGACTCGCGAGCGGAAAACTAGGACTCGCGAGCGAAAAAAGAGCTTGCGAGCTGAAAAGAAACGCTCAAGAGCGCAAAAAAGGGGCGAAATGAACGACCTTTTTCAAGGCGCGTCATCGAGAGGTAGTCAATTTTGGGCGCCTTTTACCATCCGTTGCGAATTTTGTACCGCGGTTTAACGTTTCGTAAATCCTGAATGGCTGTCTCTCTTTCTCGTGTCGCCAATAGAAGCTCCAGCAATGAGAAGTGCCCCAAAAATTAAGTGCCATCTTGTGGAAGGTTTCTAGCGAAATCCACCAAAATGTAGGTATATTATAAGTATGCACCGAAAAAGGAAATGTGGTAGCCTCCGACACGATCTTCCTGATGGTGAAGTCAAATCTTCAAACGCGAATTGCGGGTGAACGGGAAGTCGGTACCGTCAAAGGGAATGTGGTAGCCCCCGACACGATCTTACTGATGGCGGAGTCAAATCTTCAAACGCGCATTGGATCGTAACGGGACATCGGAGGTGGATACCGACAAAGGGAATATGGTACCTTGCTGCATTCATCTCGAGATACAACTTTACGTTAAGCGTACCGTGTCCAGGACCTTAGATACCATCTGGACTTCTTCGGTTCGGTTCTTTTGTCCGATGAATTCTAGAGAAACACGGCATTTCTTTGGCTTCAAATGCATTCTGTCTAAATTTGTAGGAACTCTTTCGGCATTTTAATTTATTTTACCCTATAAATTATTCAATAAACTTTATTTCATTTCCAAATTCAATAAGTGTGTAATTTGTGTTCTAGTTTTCCGATAGTAAGCATGGGTACGAGTGAGTGCAACTTGGTCTTTTATAGCGTAGGGAATCCAGTGATTGTTGAGTGCGAGATATGCGTTACTACGCTGGTGTTCCCAGTTCCAAGTTCTAAAGGAGAAAGACGTATTTAATGGGTCCAAAAGTGCCGCAAGAAAAGTTGTTGCGAACATTGGTTTCTGCTATCAAAAAGATAATCGAAGAAGAGGTTTAATGGAGTTATCCAATATTGCACTACATCAATGGTGTCAAAAACAAATGATTCAGATTGCTATGGGGAAATAAACATGGGCAGCTTTTTTAAGTGGTTCGGGGACCATTTGCTACCAAATTTAGAAGTAGGTACCATCGCTGATTGTTATACACAATGCAAGTTATCACAGTAGTTTGCTGGAAAATTGTTTAGATACGTGGCAACACGTCATTGATGCAGTTACTGATATATGAAAACGCACTGTAGAACCTTTAATAGAAAGGGAAGCAGCTTATGATCATGCAAGGTCAAGGACAAGGTCAATGGAGACGAGTAACATTTTTTGATGCAATATATTAGTGTAAACGTGTGCCACATCGTATTTGATAAAGCATTACTCAAAGATATAATTCTACAATGTTGTTGCGAATTATTGTCAGAGAAAACAACGATTAAAAATAGCTCGTACTGCGCTCTTCTTTAACTAGTATAAATTCTTACATTGCCTACTGATATTATTTACTGATCTGTCTATTATCGGTTAACAGTTGCTGTAAAACTGATCTTCCATTCCACGTTCCCAGTTCGGCGGAATAAGCCACAAAAATTACACAAATATTTGATCACATCCGCGTTTAAGAATCTTGTCAAAACAAACTGTTATTCAGAGAAGACTAGGTGTTTGAGTTACAGTTGTAAATTTCTTTTTCGCTTTTCGTTTCGAAAGAAAGCAAATAGGGATAATGATAATGATATGCGACTATGCCCTAGTGATACTATCAAGGCGACTTTATAAAGATAATTGCTAACGTTTTGCAATCTTTTACAGCGAAATGGTTAGAAAATTATTGATAATCTGTTTTATTGTGCTTGTTTCGAGTGTATTCGGTAAGCATACGGCCTAAGTACATATTATGGAAAGTGTGATGATATTTATCTTCTAAATTTTCCCCTCAATTTCTTGAACAGGCCAAGATCTGTCTTCCGAAGACGCCGCCATTGAAGACTTTAATGACGACGATATTGAAGGATTTTATTTGGAACGTGGAGATGGGGGAGCAGGTAACTATAGTGTTAATTGTTTTCCACTTTTGAAAATTTGGGTTTGCATGTAGGTCAACGTCGTAAACGCGATGCAAATTCAGGTCTGTTAAGTCTTCAAAGGTAATCAGTTGCTTACATTAGGTCTCTTTTTATAAAAATTAGGGTCGAAGGAGTCTTCTGAAGAAAAGAAAAAAGACAAAGTAATTTTTATAGATCAAAAAAGGAAATCGGGTGAGTATAGTCCCATTTACATCCACCTTGAGGGTATGGTATTATTTTTATTTAGGTGAATCCTCTGAAGAGCAAAAATCAAAAGACGACAAGCAGATAGTTCATGATTCCTCCGAACAAGGGCCAGGAAACTATAAGGACGGAATAAAGAAATCGGGTGAGTATAAATCCTACCGATTTTAACCTACCACTCTTTAGAGTAGGTATATGTGCTTTATTTTTGAAATGTAATATTATATTTGAATTAGACGGTAAATCTCACGATTCCTCTGAAGAAGGGTCGGGAGACTCTAAGGGAGGAATCAAGAAACCGGGTGAGTATAAATCCTACCGATTTTAACCTACACCCTTTAGGATAGGTGTTTTATTTTTGAAATTTGAGATTGTATCTGATTTAGGCGATAAATCTCACGATTCCTCTAAAGAGCAGAAAGAAAATCTAAAAGACGACAAAAAGAAACCAGGTCAGTATAAGGTTAACTCCATTAGTTCACTCGCTTTTTCTCCGCTCACGTGTTAATCTTATCTTCTACGTTCGCGTTTAAAGTATTGAACTCACCAACAGGAACAGATGCTTCCAAAACGTTCACGTTTTCTATTTGAGTACTCTCTTCACGAAATAAATATCCATTTGAGGTTTTCGTTCCACCGATAGGTATCTGTCGTTGGGGCCAAAATGGGGCGTTTTCTCAATATTCGTTCTTGCACATCGTCTTCGAGATATTAAGTGTGCTATCATTATTCTTTACCTTCTTGATATTGGTTATTGTTACCGCTTGAACCCCACCTTCATAAAATAAAATTGAACCTCTACAGCACTGGCAAAAACTCCAACTCCAATTAATTTTTTTACCCACGGCTAGTTCAGTAATAAAAAGTGTTCTTAACTAAATACCTCTTACCTTGCGGAAGTTTGACCTCTTATCTCCTCTTCCGTAATCCAAAATCTAATGCTCTGGTTTGATTGAACTGTAATAAATACGCATATGACTTTACTTGATTGAATATACAGGGGGCAATTTGAAAACTTACCACCCCCCATGTTTTAGTAAATAAACGAGATATTTTAAAAAATCAACATACGTTTCGGTAATTCGGAGGGGAAATCACAATGACATAGTTGGCGATTTTTTAAAATATCTCGTTTATTTACTAAGACAGGGGGGGGGGAGTTTTCAAATTGCTACCCTGTATAATAAAAGCGAAGACGATCAAATTCCATTTTTCTTTTACATTTTTCTGTCCAAAGTATACACACACCTCTGATTGCTAAACGAAGTTTTAATTCAACCAAAGGACTGGTATCACTGAAATTAAATGCACAATTCCCAATCAATGAAACAATATAATAAAAAATCCTTTGTTTGGATTCGATCCTTATCAATAAATACAATGAATTCCCATAGGTCGATTCCTTTAGGAATCTTAAAATTACTTCGAACAAAATGACTATGCAAATTCCTAAAAATAATCAACCACTACTTTATACAAATCACAAATTTTAAAATAACACAATTATTGACGTGGGTAATACTCTCTTCTGGTAACAATCTTATCTTTCCTTGAAAAATGCAGTTTTTTTTAGAAATACGAAAATATATCTCTTTAATGGTACAATTGACATTCTGTACCACCCCGGTTTCTAGACGCTACTAGTTCTTTATCTTAAGAGCTATTGTTCTACTTTTTTCGCTATTTGGTTCGTTATGGTGTCGAGTCTTGCACCAAGGAAGGAATTTTTTCTGTGCCGCTTACAAAAAAAGTTATTGTAAGAAAAAAACAAAAAACCGTTTTTTACATGTTCCATAATTTTACACTTTTGCCGTTTATTAATGATCCTAGAGATCGTTTATAATTTTGTATTGCTGTCTGTCGTCTGTCTGTTGGTCTGTCCGTCTGTTTCTTTGTCTGTCTGTCCATCTATCTGTCCGTGTGAACGAAAACTTTGTTTAGAAATGTCTGATCGCTTTGACATCTCCGTTAGTTATGAACTGAATTGCATGAAATTCAATATGGGCATAACTTTAGCCATATAATACGCAATGCCAAAAGTTGAGTCGAATCGATTCAAAATTTACAGTGCCCTTTTCGCATCTCGACCATTTATAAACCGAATTGCAAACTTTTTTACTTATAAAAGTATTTGAATGAAATTTGATACATAGGCATTTGGAATAAAGGAAAATCAAACGCCAATTTCAAAATTTGGTTTTGCGCATGCGCAGTGCCAACTTTTTTATTTATGGAAGAATTTAAACGAAATTTGATGCATAGGCGCTTGGAACAAAGGAAAATCTAACGTTAGTTTCAAAATTTAGATGTTCTTATTTAGAAAAGCATTGCAATGAAATTCTTCTTGTAAACTGAAATTGAATTAGCACGTCAAAAATGGATTACACATTTGCAACGCTATCTTTCACATTTGTGGCCGCATTTTTACGATTTTAACAGAAGTTGCATCTTACAAATGGGAAATGAATGCAAAATGCGCTTTTTGTAATTCGTTTACGATTACTTTTTAACTTGTTTAATTTGAAAGGCGGTTATCCGACTCGAAAATGTTCCTTCTCGTAAATCTCCACTTGAAAATAAAAGGCCTTGATACGAATTAGGCTGCTAAAAGGTTTTTTCTCGTCCCACAATCCACTGCGTCAGGTAACCCGCAATTTTGTCACAAATCCGAATTTGCTTATAAATGTTTTTCCACGACATACATACTGATAAGAGTTCTCGCTACTTAATATGTTTTTACCCGAAACTGTTAATCTTTACAGCGACTCAAATAGATTTTGTCAACTAATTCAGCGTTCTGGTTATTAAATCGAACCACGAATCTTCACACATACGTGAGGATATTTCTTGCAACACAGGCAAAAATGCCGACTGCATCACACACCGATATTTATACGTGTTCGCTCCTGAAGTTAAACGAAAACCTTTTGAATTTACACGAAATAGACCAACAATAATAACAAATTAGCGTACACACATTGGTACTGACTCGCATTCTCAACTTCTCCAAGAATATAATTTCGCGTATCTCACGTAGTATGTGACCTCTCGTGAAAGCCGAGTTATAATGCCCGCCTCCCACTTCTTTTCCTATTTTAATCTCGCCCACGAGAAAAACCGAAAAGTAACTTATTTTCTGAAAGCAATGACCTCCACTGGCGTGCCCTAACAACCAATAGGAAACCCGCACTTTCGTCACGTCCTCGACTTTAAACAGAACGGAGCGAAAAGAGATCGTGACAACCGCACCCGCTTTCCGGAAAACGTTTATTGTTATCGCTTGTTATCGCCAGACATACTTTCGTTCACGTTCGCTATAAAGCGGTATATATGGAAATTTTCCTGTTTAACAAAATACAAATTCAAAATCAAAAATTTAAAACCAAATTGGTGGATGAATGTGGATTTTGATTAAATTTTGACGACGAATAATCATTACGGTCTTATAAAATGGTTTCCTTATTGCAAGTATCTAATTGTTTTTATTACAATAGGGGACAAAGGTGATTCGAATGAAAAGGATGATAAAAAGAACCCTGGTCAGTATCATGTTTTATTTGAAACTTCACGCACTAATTTCTTGTTCTTTTATTCTTTTACATTAGACAAGAAACGAGATTCAAGCGAAAAAGATAATTCTTCTGAAAAAGCCAAAGGTAAGTGCACTCCTTTACCCTTTTACCTCCAGTTTCGTATGCAACGTAGCACTTACTCACAATTACATTTAGAACACTTAGCGGGTTTTATTACAAATTTATCACTTCGACATCAATGCTAAAACTGGCACTAAACGGCCTTATAGCGCCCCGATAACGTTCTAGAAGGTTCGCAACGATATCAAGCATGAATATTTATTGCTTTTGTTTGTAAACTATGACATCCACCACTAGGACCTTCGTGTCGTGACAAAAAGAAACTGTTAGTTTGAGGCGACCTGCGTGATTTATGTCATTTGCGGTTTTACCCTTGATTATAAAGATCTTAGATATTGTGAAGATCGGTAACCCCACAGGGTGATTGAATTTCACCCGTTTGCAGTAGGTTTGTTACATGTGCCCTAAGGTCAAATATGCAAAGTTTGAACCGTATCGGTCCAAGCCTTTGCCGGTTATCGTGTTCACAGACAGACAGAGATCACGGTTGCCCTAAAATAAAGTAGTATGATTGTATAAATGGGAAGAGTAGATATTAGTTGAATTTTCGTGCACTAGATATTGCTGTATGCAATGGTGTGGGGTCGAAACAACACCCACAAAACACCTGTTCAGCTAGCTCAAATAAATTAAGAATTAACTTATAATTTTTATCAACTCTCCTTGTAAATCTCCAGCATTCGCTACAAACCAAAGTATGTGTAGGAGTTATTTGACACATCGAGTACTAATTTCACATTATATCATTTACTCCGCACCGGTGCGGATTTTATTTACAGATTTATCATTTCGACATCAATGTTGAAACTGCCACTAAACATAATTCGATTTGCTTATATAGCAAACAAAACTAATTTCTTTATCTTTTATTACATTAGGGGACAAAGGGGGTTCAAAGGAAAAAGATGATCAAAAGAAACCTGGTCTGTATACCTAATGATTTATTTGACATTTCCAGTGCTAATTCCTTATTCCTTTAATTTGTACATTAGGTGACAAACGGGATTCAAGGGAAAACAATTCTTCGGAAGAAGGCAAAGGCAAAGACAACAAAAAAACACCGGGTGAGCACAGTTCTCTTCATTTTTCATTTCAAAATGATTATACTTCTCAGTGTTACGTGTGTTTACGTCGTCATAATTTGTTGCACTCCAAATTTAATGAATTGAGGGATAAGTTCCCGTAAACCGACTTCTTCAGGAATGTTAGAATGACTTTCAATTTCAAATTTCTTAAACAAAATCCCGAAAAACGGTCGACTCCTGTCCATGTAATCAGGAAAAATAATGCAAAAAATTGACGTTAGCATATACAGGGTGTACCACCTTTGGGTCAAATCTCAATGGCCCAATATTTTTTTGACTACGCCACTGGATACTACGTAAAAATATCTCAAATAGTCAGTTTTTACTTTTTTTTCTATCCAACATGGGTAGTAAGATATGGTAACGTCCTAGGATGTCAAACTTTTCCTTTTTCCCCCTATATCTCAGAAACAAACGTAACTAGATTGATTCTAATTTGTTTTATTGCTATAGGGGACAAAGGTAATTCGAAAGAAAAGGATGATAAAAAGAAACCTGGTCAGTATAATCTTTCATTTGATATTTCATGTACTCATTTCTTATTTTATAATTTTTTGCATTAGGCAACAAACGGGATTCAAGTGAGAAATATAATTCTTCTGAAGAAGCCAAAGGTGAGCACAACTCATTTCATTCTTTTATTTTTACAAATATGTTTGCATTTGTATACCACGTAAATTTACATGATTTATTTAAATGTTTATTTATATAAAGTTAATTATTAATATTTACAAGGACTATAACTACTAAGTGGTCCTTAAGTAGATTGATTTATAACAGTTCAATTTACAGTCACATTCATAACAACTAGATATACTAGAGTAGATTCAAACACGAGCACCGATTTTATTTACAAATTTATCACTTCGACATCAATGTTAAAACTGTTAAAACTATCGCTAGTACCTAATCCTTTATTGACCTTATGACGCCTCGATAACGTTCTAGAAGGTTCGCAACAATATCAAACAGTATTAAATATAAAGACATTTTGAAATATTTTTTTACTTTTGTTTGTAAATTATGAAATCGATCCAGGCCTTTGCTGGTTATCGTGTTCATAGACAGACAGACATCATCGACTCTCGTAAAAAGTTTGCATCGCTTTGGTCGAGATTAGTTGAGTCTTTACGCACTAGGTACATAATAAATCTAGAAGTGATGCATTCAGGTTACCAACTAATATCTTTATTTTTTATAACATTAGGAGAGAAGGGTGGTTCAAAGGAAAAAGATGATAAAAAGAAACCCGGTCTGTATAATGACTTATTTGATATATCGAGTGCTAATTTCATATTCCTTTAATTTGTGCATTAGGTGACAAACGGGATTCAAAGGAAAACAATTCTTCGGAAGAAGGCAAAGGCAAAGACGACAGAAAGAGACCAGGTGAGCGCAATTCTCTTCATTTTTTCACTCATAATGGTTGGCTGCTTGGTAATCCATAATGATGTGACTGGCTAACAGAGACAAAATTGCTTTGCACATGTAACGAGCTAGTTACATTTACAGAGGTTACAAACTCCTTTTGTAGAAAATAAATTGTATTCTCTACGGCACTGGTAAAAATTTTATTGTAACAATTAATTTTTTGTAACGAAATTATTAATACCACGGCTAGCTCAGTCATGAATAAATTTTCATTTACTCTTACCTTGCGGAGGGTTGGTTCTTTATCTCCACTTATAATCTGAAAATTAAAACCTGATACTCTAGTTTTACCACTCTCACACAAGTACTCATATAAATCTAATTGTTTGAATAATTTGTTGAAAATAATATCGTTCTTTTTTTACTATTTATAATTGCCCCAATATCAGGTACAAAATTCTATTCAAAAACAAATTTACCCGTCTCTGGATGCTAAATGAAATTTAACCCACACAAAGGAATAGAATTAATAAACTCACAAGATTAATTCCCGTAAATCCATCACTTCAGGAAAGTTCGAATGACTTTCAAGTACAAATTTTTTATACAAAATTCCCAAAAACGGTCGACTTTTGTCAATGTAATCAGGACATATAATAATTCAAAAAAATTGTCTTTAGGATATACAGAGTGGTGCATTTAAAAAATGCCAGGTCATATCTCAGAAACAGTGGTTCAAAAATTTTTTTTACTACGCCACTGAATTTTATGTAAAAATATCTAAATAGTCAGTTTTTACCTTTTTTCACATAGGTACCTAGTAAGATATAGTAACGTCTTAAAAAGTGAAACTTGGCCGTTTTCACCCTGTATCTCAGAAACAAACGTAGCTAGATTGATTCTATTTGCCTCCTGTCCCCCCCTTCCCCTTTCCCATCGAACAGTGCGCTTTTACCATCTTCCCAATCAACTTGGTGGATGAATGTCGACTTTGATTAAATTTTGCAACTACCTAATCTTTCTTATTGCAATAGGGGGCAAAGATAATTCAAAAGAAAAGGACGATAAAAAGAAACCTGGTCAGTATAACCTTTTATTTGATATTTCAGTTACTAATTTCTTATTCTTTTATTTTTTGCATTAGGTAACAAACGGGATTCAAGTGAGAAAGATAATTCTTCTGAAGAAGGCAAAGGTCAGTACAACCTTTTCACCCTTTGACTTCAAGTACCTATGTTTATAATTGTATGCAACGTAAATTCAACACGTGATTTATTTGGATATTTATTTATAGAAAGTTTAACCATAAACTAAACCTAAAATGGTCGTTAATTAGGTTGATTTATAACAGTTCAATTAATATTTATGACTTACAATCACATTCATAACAACTAGACAGACTAGATTTAAACACGAGCGCCGATTAGATTTAAAAATTTATCACTTCGACACCAATGTTAAAACTATCGCTGGTACCTAAAGCTTTATCGACCTTATGGCGCCTCGATAACGTTCTAGAAGGTTCGCAACAATATCAACCAGTACTAAATATACTAAAGAGATTTGGAATATTTTTGACTTTTGTAAATTATGAAATCGATCCAAGCCTTTGCCGGTTATCGTGTTCACAGCTTTGAATATAAAATATAGGCTCTCAGACAGATAGACATCATCGACTTCCCTAAAAAGTTTTCATCGCTTTTTTCTGCCGCTTTTAATAAAGTAGGTTGTATGTATGATGGTGTAAACGGGAAGTGTAGATTGACCCTGTGCGCACTAGGTATATATAATAAATTTAGTAAGATAAGGAACACATTCTGGTTACCAACTAATATCTTTATTTTTTATAACATTAGGAGAGAAAGGTGGTTCAAAGGAAAAATATGACAAAAAGAAACCTGGTTTGTATAATGACTTATTTGATACATCGACTGCTAATTTCATATTCCTTTAATTTGTACATTAGGTGACAAACGGGATTCAAAGGAAAACAATTCATCGGAAGAACTTAAAGGCAAAGACGACAGAAAGAGACCAGGTGAGCGCAATTCTCTTCATTTTTTCACTCATAATGGTTGGCTGCTTGGTAATCCATAATGATGTGACTGGCTAACAGAGACAAAATTGCTTTGCACATGTAAAGAGCTAGTTACATTTACAGAGGTTACAAACCCCTCTTGTAGAAAATTAATTGTATTCTCTACGGCACTGGTAAAAATGTTACTGTAACAAAAGTTAATCCCACGGCTAGCTCAGTCATGAATAAATTTTCATTTACTCTTACCTTGTGGAGGGTTGGGTTCTTTATCTCCACTTATGATCTGAAAGTTAAAACCTGATGCTCTAGTTTTACCACTCTCACACAAAGACTCATATAAATCTAATTGTTTGAATATATTCTTGAAGATAATCTCGTTCTTTACTATTTATAATTGCTCCAATACCAGGTACAAACTTCTATTCAAGAACAAATTTACACGTTTACACGAATAGTTATTAATAAACCTAAAAAAATCAATTCACAATTAATGAGAAGTACTTTACCAATATCTTTGGGTTTACTTATCGTTCATAAAATGTACACAAACTGGTTCACAAGATTAAGTCCCGTAAATCCACCTCCTCAGGAAAGTTCGAATGACTTTCAAATACAAATTTCTTATACAAAATTTCCAAAAGCGGTCGACTCTTGTCAATGTAATCAGGAAAGATAATTTAAAAAAATTGACTTTAGGATATACAGAGTGTTACATTTAAAAAATACAAGCTTTGGGTCATATCTCAGAAACAGTGGTTCAAAAATTTTTTTGACTACGCCACTGGATTTCACGTAAAAATATCTAAATAGTCAGTTTTTACCTTTTTTAGCGCATTTCCACAAAAATAAAAAAAAACGCGCTATTGTGGCCACTTTGTCCGTCCGTCCGCTCGTTTTGCGACGCTACTAGTTCTTTATCTTAAGAGCTATTGTTCTACTTTTTTCGCTATTTGGTTCGTTATGGTGTCGAGTTTTGTACCAAGGAAGGAATTTTTTCTGTACCGCTTACAAAAAAAGTTATTGTAAAAAAAACAAAAAACCGTTTTTTACATGTTCCATAATTTTACCCTTTTGCCGTTTATTAACGATCCTAGAGATCGTTTATAATTTTGCATTGCTATCTGTCGCCTGCCGGTTGGTCTCTCCGCCTGTTCCTTTGTCTGTCTGTCCATCTATCTGTCCGTGTGAACGATAACTTTGTTTAGAAATGTTCGATCGCTTTTACATCTCCGTTAGTTATGAACTGAATTGCATAAAATTCAATATGGGCATAGCTTTAGCCATATAATACGCAATGCCAAAAGTTGAATCGAATCGATTCAAAATTCACAGTGCCCTTTTCGCATTTCGACCATTTATAAACCGAATTGCAAACTTTTTTACTTATAAAAGTATTTGAATGAAATTTGATACATAGGCACTTGGAATAAAGGAAAATCAAACGCCATTTTCAAAATTTGGTTTTGCGCATGCGCAGTGCCAACTTTNATAACTTTGTTTAGAAATGTTCGATCGCTTTTACATCTACGTTAGTTATGAACTGAATTGCATGAAATTCAATATGAGCATAGCTTTAGCCATATAATACGCAATGCCAAAAGTTGAATCGAATCGATTCAAAATTCACAGTGCCCTTTTCGCATCTCGACCATTTATAAACCGAAATGCAAACTTTTTTACTTATAAAAGTATTTGATTGAAATTTGATACATAGGCACTTGGAATAAAGGAAAATCAAACGCCAATTTCAAAATTTGGTTTTGCGCATGCGCAGTGCCAACTTTTTTATTTATGGAAGAATTTACACGAAATTTGATACATAGGCACTTGGGATAAAGGAAAATCAAACGCCAATTTCAAAATTTGGTTTTGCGCATGCGCAGGGCCAACTTTTTTATTTATGGAAGAATTTAAACGAAATTTGATACATAGGCACTTGGGATAAAGGAAAATCAAACGTCAATTTCAAAATTTGGTTTTGCGCATGCGCAGTGCCAACTTTTTTATTTATGGAAGAATTTAAACGAAATTTGATACATAGGCACTTAGAATAAAGGAAAATCAAACGCCAATTTCAAAATTTGGTTTTGCGCATGCGCAGTGCCAACTTTTTTATTTATGGAAGAATTTAAACGAAATTTGATACATAGGCACTTGGGATAAGGGAAAATCAAACGCCAATTTCAAAATTTGGTTTTGCGCATGCGCAGTGCCAACTTTTTTATTTATGGAAGAATTTTAACGAAATTTGATACATAGGCACTTGGGATAAAGGAAAATCAAACGCCAATTTCAAAATTTGGTTTTGCGCATGCGCAGTGCCAACTTTTTTATTTTTGGAAGAATTTAAATGAAATGTGATACATAGGCACTTGGAATAAAGGAAAATCTAGCGCCAGTTTCAAAATTTTATTTTGCGCATGCGCAGTGCCAACTTTTTTATCTATGGAACTATTTAAGTGAAATTTGATACTTAGGCGCTTGGAACAAAGGAAAATCTAACATTAGTTTTAAAATTTAGGTTTGCGCATGCGCAGTTCCAACTTTCTTATTTAGAAAAGCATTGAAATGAAATTCTTCTCATAAACTGAAATTGAAGTAGCACGTCAACAATGGATTGCCCATGTGCAACGCTATCTTTCATATTTGTGGCCGGATTTTGCAACGCTATCTTTCATATTTGTGGCCGGATTTTTACGATTTTAACAAAAGTTGCATCTTACAAATGGGAAATGAATGCAAGTGGAAATGCGCTTTATGTAAATCGTTTACGATTACTTTTTAACTTGTTATATTTTACATGGGTACCTAGTAAGATATGGTAACGTCTTAAAAAGTGAAACCTTACCGTTTCACCCTGTATCTCAGAAACAAACGTAGCTAGATGGATTATATTTGCCTGTTATCCCCCCTCCCCCCCCCTTCTCCTTTCCCATCCAACAGTGCGCTTCCCAATCAACTTGGCGATTTTGATTAAATTTTGCATGTACCTGATTTTTCTTATTGCAATAAGGGGCAAAGATAATTCAAAAGAAAAGGATGATAAAAAGAAACCTGGTCTGTATAATGATTTATGTACGACTGCTTGATAATATATAGATTTTATCGTTTATTGAATTCCATGAAATTTTCATGTTGAAGGATTGTTGCAGTCGTACATAAAGCTTTGTATATATCGCGTCCATAAATAGGCTTTATGGGGACCCGCCTTGTTTATTTGTGCCTCGCTCGCAAGCTCGCTCGGCTAAATAAACGGCTCGTCCATAAAGACCCAGTTTATGTATTTGATATATAAATAGCTATTATTTGACACTTCGAGTGCTAATTACATATTCCTTTCATTTTATATTAGGTGACAAACGGGATTCAAAGGAAAACAATTCTTCGGAAGAAGGCAAAGGCAAAGACGACAAAAAGACACCAGGTGAGCGCAATTCTCTTCATTTTTTCGTTTCAAAATGGTTTTAAATATTTACTTGTCAATGTTACTTTCCATTTGAATCTCTACTTTTCTTAAAAATTTTTCGAGATTGTTTACATTTGATGGTATTCTTTCCGTTACCACTAAACGTTTCTCTTCGCAATGGGTAATCGACGGACGACGTACCTGTGACCGTTTTACTTACACTTGAAACAGAGTTCAACACCTTGGGGCCTTAGAAGCGTAATGGCCGGTTTCTGTGCAATTAAAACACTTCATGAATCTGTTCGGTTACCATTTGTTGGTCATCAATTGTGTTAAGTCAGGCTTACCGAAATCTGGAAATGCAGTATTTAAACTCTCGTTAGCGCATATTCCCCTCGTGCCCCAACTATTCCACTTACGAGCCCTCGTTGTCAGTATCACCCGCCATCTTCTTTTTTTCTTCAACACTCACACAGGAAAAAGGAGACAAAATTCGATACTTTATAGAATAAGATAAGAAGACCATAAAGTTTAGTTGCTTCCCATCAAACAGCGCGCTTTACCATCTTTCCAACCAAATTGGTCAATGAATGGCGATTTTGATTAAATTTGGACCGAAAAATACACATTACGTTCTTACTTTTTTTTTTATTTATTTGCGCATCAACCGCGTAGGGTTATTTGCGCTGATATTATGCTTCTGTAATGTAATGACTATAATTGGTGTATGACATTGATAGATTTTAGATAGTTTGTAACGTTTCCGAAGTTGCACTTCTCTCCTAATATTTCTCGAAGGGATCCTTGAATGTGGTGTAGGGAACGCTGGATAGTATACTTGTTACATGAGGTGAAGATGTGACTGACTGTGAGGTCCACATCACATACGTCGCATTTGGGTTTGTCACTTTTATTTAACAAATATTCGTGAGTCATTTTTGTATGTCCTATTCTTAGTCTATTGATTATAACTTGGGCTTTCCGGGTAGATGGTGATGGTAATATTACGTTTACATTTGGTTTAATTTCCCGTAATTTTGAAATTGACGCACTGTATTTATTTTCCCACTCTCGTAATACTTGTTGTTTAATGAAGAATTTAAGGTCACTATGTATGATTACACTTATATTATTTGTGTCGTTATTGGGTTCAATCGCGTTTCTAGCTTCCATGTCTGCTCTTTCATTTCCCTCTATTCCTATATGGGATGGTACCCATACAAAACAGATTTCTTTGTTGGATTCTCCTGATATTCTAAGTTCATTTTTAATAGATTTAATAATTGGATGACTTGGATATAACTTTTGTAAGCTCGTTATTGCACTAAGAGAGTCTGAGATTAAAACGTATTTTCGATGATATTGTCTGTTTACATATTTTACAGCACTATGGATGGCGAATAATTCTGCTGTGTATATGCTGCTGATGGGGGGCATTTTGTATCGTTCGATATCCTGGTCGGATACCAGAGCGGCTCCTACTCCGTGACTAGTTTTTGATGCATCCGTAAATACTGTTGTATATCCCCTTAATTTGGAAATTATTTCGGTGAAGCGTTGGCGTATTATGATGTTATTGGTGTCTATCTTCGGAATTTCTGTAAGGCTAGTATCGATTTGGAGATACTGCTGGGACCATGGCAGGCAGTTCTCAAATTCCAGTGGTGAATGAAGGTTGCAGTTTTTGCTGCGTATACGTTAGACTAAGCTGTTGTCTCCTAATTGTAAGTGGCGGTTCGTTGGCGATGTTATGTAGACTTTCTATTGGACTGGTATGGTAAGCTCCTTGAGCCATCCGTAACGCTTTATTTTGAATTACTTCTAGAGCTTTTGTTACATATGCCTTTGCTGAATCGTATGAAAGGGCTCCATAATCCAATCGTGATCGTATGAACGCCTTATAGATCATCATAAGAGAATCACTGTCTGCTCCCCAGCTTGTGTTAGATAAAGATTTCATGATGTTGAGTGCCTTATTGCATGCTACCTTTAAGTTCGAAATGTGAGGTTTCGAGTTAAGTTTTTGATCAAATGTTACCCCCAGAATTTTTATTTGATCTGTATATTGTATGGTTTGGTTTTTGTATGTTAGTGTGGGATTTGGCTGGTTTGAATTACCCTTTGAGAATAAGATACATTTCGTTTTCTTAGCGGAAAGCTGGAATCCGGTTTTGTTGGACCATTCCTCGAGGCTATTCAGGCAGTTTTGCATACACTCTTGGATTGTATGTGTATTTTTCCCTTTCATGTATATAATTAGGTCGCCTGCATAAAGTCTAACTTTGATTGGGGATTTCACATTGTCCACTACATTGTTGATAGAAATTAGAAACAGGGTGGCGCTTAGAACTGATCCCTGGGGAAAGCCATTTTCTTGTGTCTTGCTTGTTAAATAGGTTCCGTTCGTTCCGACACGAAATTTTCTTGATTTTAAAAAGTTTTTGATAAACATAAGGATGTTTCCCCCGATGTCCCATCTTGATAAACTTGAGAGAGCTAAATGTCTCCAGGCGATGTCATACGCTTTATCAATGTCAAGTCCAATTGCTAAGCATTTCTGATCGTCTATGAATGCTTCATGTATTTCCGCTTCAATATCAACCCGCGCAGCGTGTCGATTGTAGATCTGTTTCTTCGAAATCCGTATTGTTCAGGTGCAATTAAACTTCTACTTTCGAGGGTCCATGTCAGACGTCGAGTAATTATTTTTTCTAATAATTTGCACATCGTCATAGACTAAATAATATAATTTACTCTATGACATCGTGCATGTCAACGATATTGGTCTATATGTGGTGGTGTGGAATAGAGGGGCTTACGTTGAACAGAATTAGGCGCTCGGCTGGCGTTACTAGTCTGCGGGCTATCAAATTTTGTCCTTTTATTCCGATTGATCCGTGATCTCTAAGAAAGTTGTCAACTGTTTAAATATATGCATATTCTTTTATTAGAGACTAGCTGACCCGACGGACGCTTTCCTCTTTCTTAGCTTGAATACCTATTCAATTCGAACTGGAATAAATAATTACAAAAAATGATTTCAAAAAATTTGCTGTGGCTAGCACACTTAGGTACCACCCGCCCCACCTGCGCCTGCCCTTTTATGTGTAAGAATATGTGTAGCAAATTTGGTTTAAATCGGTTCAACCGTTTAGTCGGAAAAGAGATTTTGACACCCTTGCCCCAAAATCTCCCGATCTCTCCCCAAAATAATAAAAAATAAACGCACTCGCTTCTAGTTGCTTTTGGCGATTCAGAGCCAACAACGTACCTTTTTTTGTTGCGCCAAATTTCGTAATTTAAAAGCAATTATTGTATTTCTGGATATGAGTCAAAAAATGTATAGAATCTGGCCCATTTCCGGAAACCAAAGAATGTAGTGACTCTGGTGGCGGTACCAATGGCGTCAATTTCACTTGGCCACTGGCGCAACATAATCCCGGGGCGTCAGTTTTAATCTTAAAAGCCTTGCAATGTGGACACACAAAGTTCTTTGGTCTAATAGCAACGATTTATTGTAAACTGTAATCGATTGCTACGTTATAATTAAATGCAACTTGATAGGGATTAAAGGGGACATTTCTGCGTTGTTCATATCGATTCCGTTAACTTCGTTTCGAGCTTCGCTTTTCTCGTCAGTTTGACTTAAGTACTCGTATAGATGTTTGACTTGTAGGATTACGAATTCTGCGACTTAAGTTCGTGCCATGCTGGTACGTCAGCATCTTGAAAAAACTAAAATTCAACTGAAAATAGAAATTGACTCCCTTGGTGTTTCTGTATAACTATGTACTCGTATACCACGTGTTTAGTCTATCAACATTCAACACTTACCAAAAATGGATATTAGGTATATCAAACTTTTAGTAATACAAAAGGCGTGATTGCGGTGAATAACCTCGAAACTTCTCAAAAAACTCACTGAAATCTTGATAAACTATCCGATCGAATTGACAGCACACTATGATATGAATAAATTAATTTTTTGACGGATATATGCCGCTCCATTGCCGATCGATGTAGCTGTTAAAACAATTGCCGTCGCACCGTCAAACGATGTTTAAATAGTCGATAAGTTTTCTCCAATTTTCCAATTTTCTGCGCGATTTTCTTAGTTGCCGTAAAAAACTTCTACACAGTATTAGAAAACTTAAAAAAAAAGATGAATGAAATCGGTCAAGTCGTTCTAAAGTTATTGCGTGACCAGAAGAAACAGGGGTTCATTTTTATATATAGAGATTCTCGACGATAATATTATGCTTTTGGCATCTATAATTTCTCCCAAGGCCTCCAAGTAATCTTGGAGTTTGAGTTCTTCAATTGAATCAATTAGAATAGCCTGTTCCTTGGTGGGGAAAATTGTGGAAGAGGTTTGACTTAGTACAGATGAATACGATTTTGGATATGGTTGGTTAATTTGTTGGTTTCCCCTGTAGTCAGAACTCAGAAGTCGCCATGGTTCTTTTGCGTTATGGGTAAATTAAGCTGTGCGACGTACCGCCGTTCTATGCCCCAACTCCGTCCCTGCGCTGCTAACATTAGCGAACGCGGGCCGTGATCAGTACAAGCCTCGAACAATGATAACTGATAGATAGCGTTGTTTTGAAGAGGAGTTTATTAAACTAGTTTACGGAATATTGTTATAAGAACTGTATATTTCTTACTAATTTTCTTCAGGTTTGGTTAGGGATTGCATTGCTCTATGTTCCCTGTACCGTACAGTTAGGGTGAGACGTACTATGGGTGCTCCTCTACCCGTCATTAAAGTAAATTATTTTTTTCACTACTAGCGTCTGATGACATGATTATTAACCTTTTTTCCACTTGTAAAGTAGGCTTTCTCGGCATTTGTTCAAAGTGGTTAATAATGTGGACATTATTAACTAGTAGTCAATAATGAGAACTGTCACGCTGTCACTTTTAGAAAACACAACCCGAAATTTCGCTCAATAAACGTTTGGACAAGTTCTCTAAAGTGAATAATTGCCACCATCCGCCATTTCCAGAGAAATTACATACCTAAAATTATCACATTTTGAAAAAATTCGAACGAAATTACTCTTTGAAAATATCTCAATGACAGAACAAAATACGGCCTGTTTGACTTGTACTTCTACGTACTTGATTGACATGTTAAATTAATAAACAAAAAATTCTGTCCAACCGTTCACTTTCTTATCAATATAATATGTTAATTTAGAGGACTTCAAGTGCTAGTAGTGAAAAAAAAAGTATATATACCACGGTAGAGAAGTCTATTATTGCCTTCGCACCTTACACCCCTCGGCGCAAGCGCCTCGAGATGTAATCTTGGTGCTCAGGCAATAATACTGGACTTCTCTACCTTGATATATAATGTACTATTTTCATTTCCGGTATCTAATTTGTTTTTGTTACAATAGCAGACAAAGATAATTCGAAAGAAAAGGATGATAAAAAGAAACCGGGTCAGTATAATGTTTTATTTGGTATTTTGTGTACTAATTTTTTGTTCTTTGTTTACATTAGGCGACAAACGGGATTCAAGTGAGAAGGATAATTCTTCTGAAGAAACCAAAGGTAAGGACAACTTCCTCTCCCTCTTACTTGAACTGTTCAATGGAGGCGTAGCTAGTTTTTAAATTTTGTTTACCAACTGATGGAATACTATTCCAAAGGAGTTGGTCGCTTGGTATTTATGCGTGTTTATATAGGCGGAGAGGGTGGAAAACGAAAACTTCCTCTCCACGATCTGTCAATCAGTCGTTGTGGTGCGTTCAACAGATTCGGAATACCTTCTTTGGGGGAGGAGGAGGGGGGGGGGATAAATGTACCTCTCGTTTTCCATCCTTCAGTAGATATACAGTGAGTTTTTTTTAAATGCGAACATAGGAGTTTACATGCAATGTAATTTTCCTATGTTCGATTAAAAAAAAAACACATCAATCTATGAGGTGTGCGCGGTTCACATTCCCAAAACGCGTAACTTGTGTGACTATGAACAACAACTCACAGTCTTTATGATCAAGAGCACTCGGTAAGATTTTTTTAAATAAGCCATGTGAGGCCATAGCAACTTTAGGATAAATTTTTCTTAAACTTACGATAACTTGACTTCACATGGCACGCGCTGACATCACAATTCATTGTGAACCAACCTTCAATTATTTGTAGGTCATGTGCACCTGGTATTCTACTAATTTGATCTATTCAATACATAAATGAAGAAAATAAGAAAATAAATAACGAAAACAATTACAATAAATGTTCGAAGTGTCCTCCTTGACATTCTAAGCAATAACCTAACCGATTTCGTAATTAAATTGGACGGCGGTATTTTTAAAAATGTGACAGCTGTCAATTGTATCTACTACTCATTTGAACTACTCAATAGATTGATGTGTTTTTTTTAAATCGAACATAGGGAAATTACATTGCATACAAATTCCTATGTTCCCATTTAAAAAAAATTCACTGTATATGCATCGTTTACTTTGACAGATCCCTGTGGAGCTGTTTCTCGAGTTGACTTAATGTCCTGACAATATCTCCTCACTATCGGTTTGATGTATGTACCTACTCTAAGCGTTTCCGTCGCTGACTTGATGCTTGTTGTCAATTCCTTTACAAATATGCCTTACCTGTTGTTATCTCTTTTTGGCGCAGCAACCTCCATTTGATTTAAAACGCCTATAACGTAGAGCATCATTCTTAGTTCACCGCCCGCGGTTCGTAATAGTATATTTCATTACCAGTCCAGAAAGGAAGCTTTTCCCGTGGGCGCATGACGTTCAAGTCATGCAAACACGGGAAAAGCCTTTCTGGACGTGTAATGAACGATATTTTTCATTATACTTCTCTGAAAATAATTATTTACATTGAAGCCGAAATCCAATTTGACAAGAAATTTTGTTGCTTGTCTTATGATGACACACATACATTATTTGCGAAACAAAACGAAACAAAATTTAAGGGTTTTATTAGATGAACAGCAACAGCAAAGAACAAATTAACTAAACAAAATCGAATATAAAATGAAGAAAAAGGTTAACTATTAGGCATTGCCATAGAAATGAACGTTTATGGTACAATTTTGGTTATTAGATATGTTTAGTCCTTGTGTTTTGTCTTTTTGCCCAATTGAAAAGTTGTTTTCGGTCGCTGAAAGAATTGGCATTGCTGATGTAATGTACGCCTGAGAACTTTCTTGGGGAATACGGCTCGTGGTTCCGATCTCCACAATTTCCGATATAGTTCGAACGTCCGAATCTCTCGATGTACTGCATTCGTTAGGACGATTAAACAATCTAGAGGATATATCAATTTTTCTGTTTAATGACTCATCTATGTACCCTTCGGCTACTGCTGATGAACGCCAACCTCCATGTCGCTTAAGAGTTAACAAATCAGCTCCACCTTCTACTAACATCGACGCTGAAGATCGTCTTAAGCCGTGTCCCGTATATTCAGTGGGATTTTTTAAATTCAAATATTCTGCAATTTGCCGTGTAGTTCCACTAATAGTATGGCACCCAACGTTCTGCTTATAACATTTACCATTACGATACGCAATAAAAAACTTCTGGCTTGCAATATCTTTAGGACGTAATGCCACATATTTTCGAACTAGTTTACAGGGCTGGAATGAACACCCTTCTTCAGTTATGGTGAAGCTTCTAGACCTATGAGTTTTTCCGTCCCGAAGGAAAACCACTAAAAAACGCCCATTATCTTCAACATCGTCAATAGTCAAGCGAATTAAATCGTCTCGTCTGCAAGCTCCGAAAATTCCGAACACTAGAATAACCTTAGTAAGTAACCATTTTACATCTGCAGCTTCATTCAAAAATTGAGTAACTTGCTCCCTTGTTAGAACTTTTGATTTTTTTGGAATGTAGCCGACGGTCTGACGTTTCAAAAAGGCGATGGTTTTACAGAATTTGCTAGCGTCCACATTTTCTTTTATTGCAAGACAACTCTTGATCATTGAAAACCTACTCCATAACGTACTTGGTTTCATAGATTTTCCCTTTTTCGATAAATATACCAGCAAAACATCATCCACAACTTTTATCACGTTTTCTTCCACGCACCACTTACGAAATTCTTCATATTCCTTTTCGTATCTTTCCTTTGATTTTGCTGGTAATAATTGGGAACTGGCTTCTGCAGCTTCTCTTAGTATATTAGCGGGAATTTCGACTTCTTCAAAATCCATTTTAACACAATGGTATAAATAAGAATCGGTTGACAATTACGTATGTCAAAGTTAAGTTGCGGTATGCATGGAAACGCATAGGACTCGTAGATGGGGCTAGTTATGGCAGACTTGATTATTCGTAGCGCACCGGAAAAAAGTTTTCCCGTGCGCCCGCACGGGAATACCCTACCTTCGGTGCGCGTGGCATACATAAAAGGACAGCACTTTCGGAGAGGTATAATGAAAAACTAGTTACGCCCTTGCTCTCTAACCTTAATGCCATATGTTAGAACGGCAAAGATGTGTTAGGTATAATATAAGCGCGTGCTAATCCGATATGCGAACTTACTCATTTTAGTGATTATAGTAGGTAGGTATTTTTCATGGGAGAGCTGTAGGTAGGTAGTAAGGTAGATATATAAACAAAGAATATTGGTACGTAACTACAGGTGTATTTACTATATATCTATACTATGGTTTCCATAAGTATTTCGAGTAACGAAGTAACTACCTCACAGTAACAAAAGTAACAGATTTAAGTGCTTAGGCTAGTAAGGTTCCTTGTCAAAAATGAGGTCGTTTGCTATATTTTTGTAAACATGTGCATACACTTTCGTATATTCACCAGTCGCATCCTCAAAGATAGCGGGCCAATTGGCATTATAAACCGTGTTAATTCTCTCATCTAATTTCGAGTCTCCAGTTTCAAAGCGGGCCGACATTCCACCCATAGTTAATGAAACTTTACTGTCCGTTGCGGTAAAATTAGCATCGGGATCAAAAGTAACTCCACCGGAAAGCGTCAGTGTACCGTTGTAATCCTCTAAAAAACGGGCAAACATATTTAGGTATGGGGTAAATAATTGTTTAGTTTTATCTGAGACCGGATGCTCCTAAAATATTTTTTATATCTAAAAACGTTTAAATATCAAACACCAAGGACGTTTGGTCAATGTCGTTCGAGTTTACAGTACTTGATTATAAGGTAACAAACTCGTCTGCCATTTTGTATCCCACTGACAGTAGCTTAAAAATGTGCACAAAAAAACTGGTTAAGGGGTACAGTGCATTAATAACCGTCAAAAATCAACGTTTTGCTAGCGTTAGGTAATTGTCAGTAAGCTCCAAAATGGCGGACGACAGAAGCGGACGACAGAAGCGGACGAATCAGCTGTGATAGGTATATATAATTTTGACTAATTTTGATATTTGACTTGTTGGTTGGTGCGCATTCAGTTTAAATGTCCGACGTCGGCTTACTCTCCCTATATTTATAACAAAAAGGATTATTCCGACGTTTAATTGAGAGTTGCGACATTGAACTGTCAAACTTAATTGATTTTGGAGTTAGATTTATGACTAACGTGACAATCGCCAAACGTCATCCGACATAGCTTACTACATTAATTTTCTGTCACTCCCAACTTGCCGGTATGAAAGAGAGATAACCTATACAAGCTTGGCTTGGCTAAAAGACGACCCCAATAAAGAGGCCTTCAGTCTCAGATAAAAAGATAAATAACAAATGTCTTACTGTGGTGATATGTTACTTTTCCTTTACTGGCAATATCGACATTAAGTAATTTACTACCAGGTTCAAACTCATAGTCGCTAACAAACAGAACTTCCGGAACATGAAACTCTAGTACAAGCTTCCATGTTTCCAAGATTTCATTTGCTTCTAATCTATAACCAGAACTTTAGATTTGCAGAGCAGATGGTGATGATTCATTACTTACCCTGCCTTGAGAATTTTCGCTTGATGATGATTGTACAACTTGATATTCTGGTAATGCTGGTCATAGCTTAGCAGTTTGGTTCCTTTAATCGTCCACTGTTTTATTTCAATGGGTTTGTCTAATGGGGTAAGTTAAGTAGCAATATTGGGAGATAACTGTTACCTGTTATACTCACCACTTGGTATAAGAGCGACAACTCTTTGTGCATTCAATAGTAAGCATGCGTTGTTATTTTCTACCGCATCTTCTTCCATACATTGCTTAAAGTACACTCCTGAAATTCAGACATATAAGATACCTAGGTGATCTTCACCCGATTTCTTACTCGTTTTTGGATTTATCCCTGCATTCACCAATAGAATATTCGCAAAGAAAAGTAGATAAATTCCAGTCATTATATAGACCGAGATTTAGACACTAAGTAATTGATTGTGTATTTATTTTCTCCGAATAATATGCTGCCCTGTTGAACCTTTGTATACGAGATATGAGATACTAACTCATTAAAAAGTAATTTATCGGTGATATTTATCGTATTTTTGTCTAATAATAGATACCATATCAAGCATATTTGGTAAAATATTAACGTTCTGATTGAGTAATGTCACAGATATACGATATACATTGAACTATATACTCTGTAACTGAAACGGCATCGCCCGTAATCAGCCGTTGCCAGGGGCCGTGGCGAATTTTTGTGAGAGAGAGATGGGTAGAGGTAGGTATCCCTTACCTTGTTCCACTCATGTGGGCTTATGGGATGGTTTATACAACGTCTTACATTTTGCTTATTTTTGTCTAAAATAAGTTATTAAGAGATTTGCAAGAATGGTCATGAATTATGTTGCATATACGTGCAATCATTTTTATAATAAAAATTAAAATATTCAATTTCATGTGTACGTTTTGATAACATTTTTCAACCTCGACGCGCGCATTTAATATTTTTGGGCATGACGGCATTTGCACCGCTCAGATTTCTTTACTAATGTACCTCACACTCATTTATACTGTCCTTATGAATGATAATTCTTCTTTCCCACTCTTTAATACTAATTCAATAGGGCATTCCACTCGCTAGAGAGCATCATATGAAGAAAAGCGTTAACGCCGCCAAAACCTATAAAGCCGTTTTGACTTAGGTACTAATTTGAATATGAAGTTCTTTATTATTTAATTTTTCACTTAACATTATTATTGATACTGCTCACTAATGGGGCGAAAAATACCTTTAAGGATTGATTTTTTTATTTATTAGCGATTCCTTCGACCTACAATGACCGTACATTAGGAGGCGTCAAAGTGTAAAGATAAAATATAAAAGCATACACATATCACACAGGTATATCACAAAAGTTATAGTAGAAAATATCACGGTTTGCATTTTCTACATCCATATCCATCCACATATGCTTTAGGTGTAGAAGCAGTTACTATGGAAAACTTTTGTATGTCCCTACGAAATATTCCGAAGGATTTGCAGGTCTTGAGTTTTTCTGGGGCCAAGTTATAAAGATGAGTTCCGGAAAATATGGGAGACCTTCTGACCTCATATAACGCGGCGTACGTTTCATTTTGGAACAAAACTCGGTTATATAAGTAGCGCAATTAACCGTCTGATCCAATTACCGTGGTTAGATGCGCCAGAAACCTTTCGCTACTCATAAACGAAATTTGCACTACTCAAGCCGCTAACTGTGGATGTTCCAATGGGTATTTGTCCTGAATTCTTCTATGCTGTCGATGGCACCACCAACACTACAACTTGTGTATTTGGTAGTTACGTTGGATGTGTCAAGGTATAGGTAGTTCCGAAAACAAAGGATCCATCGGGCTGTTAGACAAATTCCAGTCGCGTACGAGAAACAAACGTTCCATAAGACCAGTATAAGACATTCGTGTTAATTCGTTTCCATCTAATGGCAATGCGGTGACCACTACGAGTAAATTGAATTTTTGCTCTTAATGATTCTTTAAACTCATTTTATTCTGAAAAAAAGTGCTTTTTTAGATTTACTTTTACCTCGACGCCAATTGTAATATATTAGCGAGTATATTAGGTACCTCCTTGCTAATATATTATGTAAAGGGTACGTTACAAATGAACACAACCAATGTTTATAACTTTATTTTACGTTAATAAGCAAATGGAATGCGTCGAGCCACCATGAATGACATTAGTTAACATTATACTTTTGTAACTACAAGAATCAAGTAGGTGAGTGAGAAATGGCGCAGTTTACCACATTATTAAGTATATATTTTAAGATATTCCATTAACAAATAGATATTGGCTCTTATAAAAGCATCGGCAAGCATTTATCTTTATCTTTCTAATCTAAGGCCTCAACCCAACCTCCCAGTTTATGTACTTATCTGTATTTTTAACCAAATACGTGTGATCGGTCCTGCATATGCAATACAAAACAATGTGCCAGACAAGGATGAGAATACCTACGTTATGCTGGTTGCCTAAAATCATTGCGTTCCAGTTACAGAGTATATATACGATTTTTTGACAAAAAAAGCCCGGTAATTTGATAACTATGCAAAATAGTTATTTTTAGGCTATCATCACAAAAACGTTGATTTTGTGGACGCTTTTGCGGCCATAAAGTTTAACTTTATTGTACGCTTCTGTCAAACTTTACTTTATTGTACACATCTGTCAAACTGTACCTACTTATTTGAAACTGATGTGTGAGAAACAGTAATCTGTTTAATACAAAGCGTCTATCTGGTCTAGCCCCATCAAGGATTGGGCCATCCACGTGCGTTTTTTTCATTTTCGGACTTGTAGGAATGTTTCACACTATTTTGCATAATCACAACGTTCACATTTAAAATTATAGTTTGACGTTTCAATCTTTGCTGCTTGCAGACCTTTTTGAAGTGTAGAACCAAAACATGAGGAAGATGTTATTGCTTACATTATTATGCGAAGAATCACCAGCAATTAAACGAGAACACAAGTAGCTACCTATACCTGCCATCAAAGTAGGTAATCAGGTTTCTAGTAATTGTACAGCATGTTAACTATAAGGTCTTGGAAGCCACAGTTACGAAGGACCTATTGCATTTGACATTATTAAAATCTTGTGCAATGGAGGAAGTTGCGATTGTACTTTTACTCTCAAACGCCAGCTCTTATATCATATATGGCTTAGGTTCGCAAGCTTGCAGCTTCCAAAATTTCATCCTGAACTGTCGCTATCACCCATTTTGATACGCACAAAACACACGCAAAGATGCTAATTATAATTTATTACATATGACAGAAATTGCTTTGTTTTTAATTGTCTAAGATAACTATATGATTTTCAGAAAAAATATGTTTATGAGCAAATTTTTGAATTCTTTTTTGATGATCGCCTAAAAAATGTTGTGTGCACCTTGGCCAAAAGTGATTTGTTAGCCCTCATCTGAATTGCGGCCTCGGCTACCGCCTCGGCCACAAACAGCAGCTTCGGCCAAAAAAGATCACTTTTACGGCCTTGGTACACAAATAACTATTGTGGACCAAGGCCGTAAAAGTGATCTTTTTTGGCCGAAGCTGCTGTTTCATTCAGATGAGGCCTAACAAATCACTTTTGGCGATCATCAAAAAAGAATTCAAAAATTTGCTCATAAACATATTTTTTCTGAAAATCATAGTTATCTTAGACAATTAAAAAAACAAAGCATTTCCTGTCGTATGTAATTATAATTAGCATCTTTGCGTGTGTGCGTATCAAAATGGGTGATAGCGACAGTTCAGATACCCCAAATGAAATTTTGGAAGCTGTAAGCGTTGCGACCCTAAGTCATATACGTATGATATAAGAGCAGGCGTTTGAGAGTAAAAGTACAATCGCAACTTCCTCCGTTGCACAAGATTTTAATAATGTCAAATGCAATAGGTCCTTCGTAACTGTAGCTTCCAAGACCTTATAGTTAACATGTTGTACAATTATTGGAAACCTGATTACCTACTTTGATGGTAGGTATAGGTAGCTACTTGTGTTCTCGGTTAATTGCTGGTGATTCTTCGTATAATAATGTAAGCAATAACATCTTCCTCATGTTTTGGTTCTACACTTCAAAAAGTTCTGCAAGCAGCAAAGATTGAAACGTCAAACTATAATTTTAAATGTGAACATTGTGATTATGCAAAATAATGTGAAACATTCCTACAAGTCCGAAAATGAAAAAAACGCACGTAGATGACCCAATCCTTAATGGGGCTAGACCAGATAGACGCTTTGTATCAAACAGATTACTGTTTCTCACACATCAGTTTCAAATAAGTACCTAGGTACAGTTTGACAGATGTGTACAATAAAGTAAAGTTTGACAGAAGCGTACAATAAAGTGAAACTTTATGGCCGCAAAAGCGACCACAAAATCAACGTTTTTGTGATGATAGCCTATAATTGACTAACCTGTTGAGAAGCGAGATGCTATAGATTTCAGTCTATGAATTTGAACGTTTTTCGTATTTAGGTTTTTGCTCAAAGTTTTCAACTTTTCAACAATGTAATACCTATTATTTCTACGTAATTTTTGTGGTGATGGTATTTTCAAAATTTCTGTACATAAAGTAGAATTTGTGGTTGAATATGGAGTTTTCGCAAACATGTTTGAATTGGGTGGAATAGGTACTTCTCGTTTCTTTGAACGTTTGATTGCAGTATGAGGTAGAAGGGCCATCTTCTTTGTAATTTAAATCTTGAAAAAATGTATCAGTCATTTTAACGACAAAAAATAACATGGTTACCTTGTTTTGAGTAAGGCAAAGGAATTTAATTGATTCTCAATAACTTTCGATTGCCGTTTTTGTAAATATCCCATGAATTAAAGTGATTTTCACAAACGATTTTATATTTTAATTCTTCATCGTCTAGCCCGCCAATAACAGAATGTCCACCATTTATTTTCCATATGTTGCCATTCGAGGTTTGTTTTTGATAGGAAATTTAAAATAACTAATGTTTTTAGTTTTCATTATTTTATCCAAAATTCGGCAATATCTCCAAATACCAAAATCATGTTAAGCCATGAACATTTTCTAAAGAATTGACACAGACGGAGTCGGACGCTCACTAAAATGGATGGAAAACAAATATCGCGTACAGTTATTTCCGCCGTCGTTTATTATAAATACTTTTTTCTATTTCGGTGTTACAATGACTATTCAATTCATCTAACATTTGTCACATTTCAACCAGTGAAACGTCTCGATTTCAAATTGCTGCGCCAATGGGAACGAATTATAGTGATAATTGCACGTGTGGTATTTCAGCGATAATTTCACGTGTGGTATTTCAGCGACAATTCAATGCGATTATTCAATGACATTTGTCAAACTTCCACCAGTGAAATGACGCGAAATTTTGTCGTATTAACGGGAACATTCTTCTTAGTTTGTTAATCAATTTCGACAACCGTCTTATCACCACATCTTTTAATTTAATCACTCATAACGAATTAGCTTGGAGCACAAAAGTTCGAATAGAATCAATAGCAAAATGAAAAGCAACTTCCATAATTTATTTTGACGTTTATTGTTGTCATGGAAATACATTCGCGTGGGTAATTTATTATGCTTAATTTTTCTTTTGATTCATTGAATAGTCCTCCGAATACCATACGTAGTCGAAGTATTTGTAGATTATTTTTGAGCTGCTGCTCCACTCATGCTAGTTACGCTTTTTAATACCACTCGCGAGTAACTAGCATTCGTGACAGCACCTCAAAAATATTCGACAATACTTCGACTACTTATGGTATTATATATGAGAATTTTGTGCAACTGTTTTCGGCAAAAACAGTGTTTCAATGAGTTCCATTGTAACATTGTTTTTGGTAACTTTTCATCTCTAAGTTGGCAGTTCGCCAAGACGTCAACGTCAAATCATTAGATGTGAAATCAAATTACGTAAAATTTATGTGTTTTCCTTGATTTTTGGTACACGAAGAACTTAATACATTCCAAATCAGCAGTTTACACATCCACCATAAATAAATTTATCTACGAATAAAAAATTACACATTCACGGAATTTAAAGTTTCCAAATGTCAGTGTTGTGTTTATCTACGCTGCCAACTTAAAATTTGTCAACGTAAATGGTGTTGCCAACTTAAGACATATTAATTCTAAAGTTTCCTGTAGTTTTTCATAATTACTTTTTAATTAAATTAAAGCCCGGAAATAGAAAAAATAGTATGAAAAACACGTGTTACAATGCTTTATTATAATACTCCTATCTTGTGGACACTCGTGGCTCCGCTTCGCTACGCCACTCGTGCCACAAAATAGTCGTATTACAATAGGTCGCATTGTAACACTTGTCTTTCAATATACTATTTCCTCAGTGAATAAATTTTACAAAAACAATTATTGACAGTTGTCATAAACTGATATTCATTTCGAATTGAATAACGAATAACGAATTTTTGATAAAAAAATCCGATACAACTGAATACCGAACGATCTTCAAGATCTTCACGCATCCATCATTGTTACAACGCGCCTTAAGGGGTTGATTCTGTTCCACCAGATCGGAATAGCTTGTAAAACAAATTGTTTGAAACGGAGTTAGTTTTACTTTTATTCGAGGTGCCTAGATACAAAATTTCGCTTAAAAATCTTAACAAAAAAACAAGATTGCGCATGCGCAAAACCATTTTTTGATTCGGCGTTAGTTTTACTTTAACTCGAGGTGCCTACATATTAAATTTCAATTAAATATCTTAACAAATAAAGAAAATTGAGATTGCGCAAATTGGGTTGGGTTGCGCATGCTCATTTTTTTATATTCATCTGCATAGTTACCTGGGGCTTAAGAGACATTTACTAACACAGAAAACCGTGCATTCACATGTTCTTTGTAACAAGAATTATAAAGAAGCCCTTTTCTGGAGGTTTGAGCAGTATTTGGACTGTAATTTTTTGCCCCGTTAGTCTACGTAGCTGAAAAACAATAGCAACCTTTCTTATATCCTTAAGAACAGCTGTTTCAATTTTCAAAGCGATCGAACGTTTCTATACAAAGTTATTCAGTTATGATTTATAGTGCACACGGACAGACGAACAGACAGCAATTCAAAATTATATACAATCTCGAAGATCGTTAATAATGAGAAATACAACTGAAAATGAACTAATTCGTATATCATTAGATAAAGAAAAAAAATCTTTCTGTACAAACTTTCATTCTTGTAGAAATGAGGCATGTACATATTATTTATTAACATGTTCAGAACATTGTTGCAAATTTAGGCAACACCGCCGATGCGGTAGATTACAGTTTTGTTTACTTGCACTATCAAAACAATAAAATGGCAGAATATCAGCTTTGTAGAAATGAGTGCACAAAAAATATCGCTGCCTCCTGGACTATTATGAACGTTAAAATGACTGTAAGTGCCGATTTCTTATAACTGACTTTGACAACCAACAAAAGCACGAATTAATTGTCTTTAACCTTTTTATCAGTTGTCGATTTATTTATAATGTTATTAACCCCTTGTATAAACCAATTAGCTGCACAACTCTTTTTAATGTATCTTGCCACTCCAAAAAATAGCACAGCGAAATGTTTTGTACCTCGGACCCCAACGCTTGCGTGGTAATACAATTTATTGAGATGCGAGCACTTTAATCCGATTGTGCAATGACCCGAAATTATTCACGTACGTGTTAAGAAAGTAACTTATTCGCACTGTATTTTCAGTAGAATATAAATCCGACGTTTATTGGTTTTCGCTGCGCAATGAAGTTCTTTTCTATACCAACTAGCCACCTACTGTTAATTTACTTAAATTGGGAACTCGTAGCAAATTTTTGAAAACACTTTGGCACTAAAATATAACGATACCGTGGCTATAATGATTCTTTTTGTTGTGGCTTTCAAATTAACAAACGTTACGCTATGTAATGAATTACATAGATTCACCTCGACTGCTTGGTGAAGAATGCCGCTCTCTCACCGCATTTGTCATAGTCCATTCGTCGATCTGAAAACGAACGACCCCCCAAAGAACCCAACTTTGACTGCGATTTTTCTAGATGAGTACCAACCTTTCTCATGCTCCATAATGTTTTGACTCTTATCTGCTTGACCACTCATTTCTTATGTTAACGTGCTTTATTTTCTCGAATAGTTCTTCCATATGAAGCGGTACCTGTACAAAATTTTTTATACCGACAAACTTGTGGAATTTAAATCTACAAACCCGAAAACGACCACGTGTTACAATTCTACTACTAAATACACTTACAACACTCTGTCCACTATATCATAAAGTCAGTAGAAGTAAATGATTTTTTTATATCTATACCATATCTACACAGTTTTTGTTATTACAGGAAGCAAAGCTGATTCGAAAGAAAAGGATGATAAAAAGAAACCTGGTTTGTATAATGTATTAATTGATAGGTAGTTAATGTATTAATTTCAATTTTTTTACATTAGGCGATAAACGGGATTCAAGTGAAAAGGGTAATTCTTCTGAAGAAGACAAAGGTGAGCACAATCCCTTTTGCCCTTTTATTGCTAGTGTATTTGTATTGCAACGTCAATTGAATACGTGATTGCTTTAAATGTTTATTTATATAAAATTGATCATCAATATTTACAAGAGACTACCTGTACTATCGACGATAAACTAAATCTAAAAAGGTCCATTAGGAACGTTAAAATGACTTCAAGTGTCGATTTCTTATACAAAAGCCCAAAAAAATCAACTCCTGTTCTTAGACAATACAAAAAATTCAATTTACTACATTTATCGATGAGTTGGAATATTCTCCCATTGACAGTTGATTTTCTCCTTTGGAAAGGTAGCAGCAATTTGGAAAATTGGATGGTTGAACGCCTTTTTTACAACACATTCGGACCTTTTGTATCGGCTAGTAAAAAATATTTGGTTACTCGTTGAAAGTGAATCTAACAAAATGATTAACGAATTTGAAACAGGCACAACCGCGCGTCTGGTTCCAATTTATTAGTTCCAATTTGGTTTATTGACTGGAATGATTACCAATATTCCGTAGTACAGAAACGTCCAAAATTACCCTTATAATTGACTTTGATAGCCAACAAAAGCACGAATTAATTGTCTTTAACCTTTTTATCAGTTGCCGTTATATGTATAATTTTATTAACACCTTGGATAAACAAATTAGGTGCACAACTTTAATTAATAAACCGTTTTTTAAGGTAACTTGCCACTCCAAATATAGCACAACGAAATGTTTTGCACCTTGGACCCTAACCCTTTCGTGGTAACAATATATTTAGATGTGAACCCTTTAATTCGATTATGCAATGACCCCAAATTATTCACACATTATTTTCAGTAGAACAAATCCGCCGTCCATTGGTTTTCGCTGCGCAATAAAGTTTTCTTTCCACACAAACCAAGCTACTTATTGTTAATTTACTTATAATGGCTACTTGTGTAATAAATTTAGAAGACACTCACGTCAATAAACTCTTCAAAATGGTGGCACAGTTTCTCTAGTAATTCAGTAATTACTTTCAACTTTGGCACTAAAATATAACATACGATACTGCGGCGAATGATTCTTTCGTATCCTTCGATGACACGAACTCGTTTTGGCTTTCAAATTAATAGAAACGTTACGCTATGTAAAAAATGTAGCACTTGAGTTACGGAGATTCACGTGGACTACTTTGTGAAAAATTTCGCTTTCTGACCACATTTGTTGCCCCAGAGATCCCGACTTCGGATGAGTTTTTTCTGCATGGGTATAGTATAGCGGAGAGTAGCTATGCCTCTCATGCTCCGTAGTGACGGATTTTAAAACCGGCCACATTGTAGCGTTTTGACTCTTATCAGCTTGAACATTCGTTTCTTATCTTAACGTGTTTTGTTTTCTGGAATATAAGTTCTGTGCCCTTTCCATATGAAGCGGTACCTATATAACATTTTCTATCCCGGAAACTTGTAGAATTTAAATCTTCAAAACCTAAAGCAACCACATGTTACATTGTACTACTAAATGCACTTACAACACTCTGTCCACTATATCATAAAGTCAGTAAGAAGTAAATGATTTTTTATATCTATACCATATCTACATAATTTTTGTTATTACAACAGGAGGCAAAGGCGGTTTAAAAGAAAAGGATGATAAAAAGAAACCAGGTTAGTATAATGTTTTATTTGATGGTTCACGTACTAATTTCTGTTTTTTTCTTAACATAGGCGATAAACGGGATTCAAGTGAGAAGGGTAATTCTTCTGAAGAAAACAAAGGTGAGCACAACCCTTTTTGCCATCTTGTACGTGTGTTTGTATTGCAACGTAAATTGAATACGTGATTTCTTTAAATGTTTATTTATATAAAATTGATTATTAATATTTACAAGAGACTACCTGCACTGTCGACGATAAACTAAATGTAAAACGGTCCATTAGGAATGTTAAAATGATTTCAAGTGACGATTTCTTATCCAAAAGCCAAACAAATCGACTCGTGCTTTTACACAATCCAGAAAGTTCAAATTACTTACATTTATCGATGAGTTGGAATATTCTCCCATTGACAGTTGATCTTCTCCATTGGACGAGTAGCACTAATTTGGAAAATTGGATGGTGGAACGCCTTTTTTACAATACAATTTTAATTATAACTGACTTTGATTGCCAACAAAAGCACGAATTAGTTGTCTTTAACATTTTTATCAGTTGCCGTTTTATTTATAATTTTATTGACACCTTGTATTAGCTGCACAATTTTGATTAATAAAGTGTTTTTTAACGTAACTGACCACTCCAAATATAGCGCAACGAAATGTTTTGCACCTTGGACCCTAACGCTTTCGTGGTAACAATTTATTTGGATACGAGCACTGTAATCCGATTGTGCAATAACCTGAAAGAATTCACGGACGTGTTAAGAAAGTAACTTATTCGCACTGTATTTTCAGTAGAATATAAAGTCGGCGTGAAGTTCTCTTTCTACACAAACCAGCCACCTACTGTTAATTTACTTAAAATGGGCACTCGTAACAAATTTAAAGAGCACTTTAAACTTTGGCACTAAAATATGACATACGATACCGTGGCTATACTTAATGGTTATTTCGTATCCTTCGATGACACGAACTCGTTTTGGCTTTCAAACTTACACTTACACGCTTACAACACTCTGTCCACTATATCATAAAGTCAGTAGAAGTAAATGATTCTTTTATATCTATACCATATCTACACAATTTTTGTTATTACAATAGGAGGCAAAGGTGATTCGAAAGAGAAGGATGATCAAAAGAAACCTGATGGTTAGTATAATGTTTTATTTGGTAGTTCATGTACTAATTTCTGTTTTTTTTACATAGGCGATAAACGGGATTCAAGTGAGAAGGGTAATTCTTCTGAAGAAGACAAAGGTGAGCACAATCCCCTTTGCCCTTTTACTGTAAGTGTGTTTGTATTGAAACTGAAATATCTTCAAAATTATTATTAATATTTACAAGAGACTACCACTATCGACGATAAACTTAAATCTAAGACGGTCAATTAACAGAATAATTTATAACAGCTCAAATATCAACCTGGAACAACACTTACAACACTGTCTAAAAGTCAGTAAATAAGTAAACGAAAGCTTTATTGCAAATATCTAAATAAATTTTTTCATTACAATAGGAAACAAAGGTGACTCGAAAGAAAAAGATGATAAAAAGAAACCTGGTCAGTACCTATAACGTTTTATATCTTAATATTTTATGTACTAACTTCTTGTTCTCTTATACTTTATATTAGGTGACAAACAGGATTCAAGTGAGAAGGGTAATTCTTCTGAAGAAGGCCAAGGTGAGCACAACCCTCTTTGCCTTTTTAATTGTTTGCAACGTAATTACGTGATTTATTTAAACGTTTATTTATATAAAATTAATTATTAGTATTTACAAGAACTAACATAAAACGGTTTATAGATAGATTGAT